CTACAAGTTACCCAGTTTTCTAGAAGTCAAAGGAAGAAATCTGAACATGCCTGATTCTGCACTCAGATCTCCATTTTCTACTGTCGCGATAAAATGCTTTTGCACAATATAAATATCATGGACTTTTTGTTTGTTTGTATATTTTCTTTAAGATGTAGATGAATAGGAGTGATAAAATGCTTTTGCACAATATAAGTATCATGGACTTTTTGTTTGTATTATTTTCTTTAAGATGTAGATGAATAGGAGTGAACCAAAATAGAAATTAAAGGTACTGAATAATAACAGCAAAAATCTGCCTGGAATGTTCTTGTTCTTCCCCATACTGCTAGCTGGAAGCTCTCCAGCAAAGGTGAAGCACCCTCCTTTCAGAGCCACCAGAAGCCTGGAGAGACTGAGAGCCTCAGAAATACCCCACACCTGCAGCACTCTGAACTCGAGGTGGTAAAATTAAGGAGTCATCTGGCAGTGGTTAAAGACCTCTTCAATGAGCCCTCTAAAGTTATGAGTTTCTACATAAAATGCTATGAGCTATGAACAATTCAAGTAGGAAACAAAAACAGCCTTTTTCTTTGTAATTCATTTAAATAACGTAAGTGAAAATTGGTGGTAGGCTGCATCCTTGGTGAATTTGACTGGATAGTAACCGCACGATGTGCAAGAATGTTATAGGAATACAAATTCTACGGGACAAATGTGAAGACCCTTTTTACTATCATTGGCTGTCTTAACACAAACATTCATAAATCTGTTTACTCTAGACATCTGCCTTGCTCTGAAGTTGCTTACTGTGCCATACAACAACTTTCAGATGGATACAAACCTAATAAAGAAGTCAGGTTTCATACAGCAGGATCTTACCCTTAATAGAGTGCTATTTTTCATACATACCTACAGATGCTGGCATTTCGCCCCACTGTAAAACAGTTTCCTTTGTGAAGTGCCCATATATATCAATGTATATGCCTTCATCTTCGTAGGTAAGTAAAAGTTCCATTCCACTGGTATTCGGGAGGATGATAATGGCATGTGGGCGAATAGTCCCCTGGATCTGGAATCATATTTTACTAAGATTTATATCAGAAAATGGACTGCAATTCTAGTGACTATATCAATCTAACTGGGCTTGGCAGAGCAATAAAGAGAACCGGCTCGCAGCTCATGGAAAGTGAAAGCAGTGCTTTCAAAAGGCTGTGTATTTTGCTAGCTAGCAAAACTGGGTTAGACATGGGTTTCATCCCCTCCTCGCCCCTTTAGATATTACAGAAGGTTTGCAAATAAAACCATGGTCAGTATATCACTTTATATTTACCAGTATTACTTGGGTTCAAGAAGCCAAGGAACCACTGAGAAACAGTAAGATTTACTGACTCATTCTCAAAACACGAGCATTATATAAACAGACACAAGGAAGGTAAATAGAATTTGAATTCAAAATTATTATTTTAGAAGATAAAGGGAGGACAACATCTTCCACATACCATACAATCAGCACTTTCACGTTCCATTGTATTTCTTTAGCCCCACTGAAGAATTGAAAACTGCAAGCTTGACAGTATTTAAAGATAAATAGTTACCTGGACCTTCCAAACACAAGCCGCTCTGCTCTGTCCCTCCCTCCCACATACAATATTCACTAATAACAGGGGCCTTTTAAATGTTGTTCAGCACACATTTTCTGCATGCTACAGGAATAGTGCATTTCATTTACACAAATTATTTTAACAGCCGTTCACTGCACTAGAATCGCTCCCAGAAGTCAACACGTCCCACGTAAGAAAAAAAATGCACATATACAACTATGAAGGTATGAAAGAAAAGGAAGAAGGTTATGAAAGAAAAAGAACCTTAAAATCAATAACAAAGCATTTCTCTTTTCAAAGCACTACCCAAACCAGGATGTTAATTAAACAGTAAATGAAACCACTGTAACTCATATTGCTATTGGAAACACACAACTGGAGTTTCTACATCATTTGCACAAGCGAGCAACACAGATTTTCCTCTTCAAGCACATACATTTATGCAGTCCATAATGGCACAACGAACAGAAAAGAAGCACTGAAGCTGTACTTGCCAAACTGAATACACTCTGGCCAACCACTTGGCTCCGTGCCTCCGCAACAACTATCCGTAACACTAGAACGGGTATCCAGAGCCGCAGAGCAATTTTAATGCGTTGCCTTGGTACTCGCATGAGCGATCGAAGCAGGTAAGAGATGGAGAAAGAGGAAAAGAGGGTACCACAGAGCAAAAGTATCTCAAGTCAGCCTGTTAACGCCTGGTCTGTTGCCACTACAAAGCTCCTTGAGAGAATTATCTGGTCTATCTGGTGCTCTTTCAAGTAACAAAATACTGAAAAAGACACAGCCACCGTAGCAGCAGATTTATTTCAGGTGGAAGACTCTTAAGGGAAAAGGTATTTTTAGTACATACTGAAGTTTTGTGGAAAAGCATACACATGGAGTCACAGTCATCCTAAAGGTGCCCCACATATTCAGGGCATCCACCTGGGGAGTATCTCTCATCATGTACATAATTATATTTCGAGCCTTTTGCAAAACTGGAAGTGCTAAGAAGGTTCACTTTTTTCTTTGCCTTTCATATCACGGGCAATTATGTTAATGGTCTTTCTGACAAGTCATTAGTCACCTCGCTGAGGAACCTGCTTGCAGGGTGGCACACAGGCATCGCCATCAGTTTTACAAAGTGATGGCAGTTTTCAACAGCTGCATATAGTCAGCGGTGCTACTGTCTGTTGCATCAAACATATTAACAACAGAAAAACAAAGTTCCTCAGTAAAAGAGATTTTAGCAAGTAATTAGACATATTATTCTGAATATCTAGAAAGTTACTTTTAATTAAAAGAAGTTTATAAACTTGGGCTTGACAGCATTTGAAGGGTGGCAGTAGTCACTTTGGGGGTGCAGGGGGTGATCAAGAGGCTCGCTATGGAAGAGGCATGGGTATTCATTTGGTTGGAAAACACAGGGCTGAGAGCACATTGCGAATAAATAAATAAAAAAGATGAGTTCAAGGCACAGGCTACAACATGCAGATCTGGAATCAGACTGGTTGCAAATTGCCCAAATTCCCTTTGGGTCGCATTGCCTCGGGATGTCGTGAGGCAGGGGCACTCGGACGAGCTACCGCTTTCCCAGGACAGGGCACGGTTGCCTTGAGGGAGGTTTTCATGAGAGTGAAGGGCCCTGCAGGAGCCTCCTGCCAGGCCGGAGCAGTCGGCATCGTCTACTAGTGTTTTGAACCTAACTCCTCAAGTTTCCATGGCTTTTGGAACCCACAAATTTGAAAAGGACTATCTGCAGCTAAAAGACAAGCAAATAAAACATTAAAACCAGAGCACAAACTTCATACTGAGCAGCCCTATGCCTGCCACTCATGTCTGTAGAGGAATTACTTTGTTAGACGAGTTTTGATGAGTTTATAGTGGTCACATCATTCCAGCAAACAGACGCACAAGCAATATGCACGAATTAACACAAAATGAACATTTTCGTGCCATCTGAAATTGAAAATCTAAGGAGAAAAGTCTTAATCAGCTTGTTATCAATATTAAAAAGCACACTGGTAGATTGTAAAAGTCACCTAAATTCACACAGATATTTTTGTGACTTTTAACACTTTAAAGAAGTCCTAAAGATCCTGGATAAACCGATCAAACATACTATTCTCCATACATCAGGCTTTCTGACCAATTACAAAATTGAAATTCATAATACAAGAAAAGAAAGGTTTTTAAAAGAAGTTCATTGTTTTACAATCCATGTGAAAAGTTGTTTTCTATTAGCTGGCATAAAAAATTATTCTCCTCCATTTTCTTTCTTTTGAAATAAAACACAGCATTGTACTCAATCACCATCAACATACAGTCCAACAAACAGATGTGTTTACTTATTTTTTTGGAATATCTTACATGTGTTGGAAGGTACAGGTCATACACAGATCCAGAATCCACATCAATAGCATGAAAGCCAACTAGGGAGCCATATATCACCTTTAATCTTTGTCCATTTTCAACTGTCAGGTCAACTGACAGTGGTTTGTGATGAAGTGACGTAAAGGACTGGAAAAAGAAAAATCAGACACTATATAACACAATAAAAATGTTGGTTTCCAGATCAACACAGATAGTCTTTCTTTAGAATTTTTAGCACTTAAGCATTACTTATTTTTGTTATTGTTGTACATAGCATTAAAGGACTTAGAAGCCTTAGAAGAAATTTGGGTAATTCACGTTTGTTCTGAAAACAAACAAAACAAAAGATTCTAGAAATGGACTAGGTAAAAGTTAGACTAAATACTATTCATGTTAAATTTCTCCGTCTTCTGAGGGAAATCAGCATCAGCTTTGTGAATTCAAGCATGCAATTTGGCACTGCACTGAAACAAGGTGTCTACACCCAACAGAAACCTGACTGTGACAGTTTCATGCCTGTCATCTCCAATGCACGTCAAGAGAGCTACATTCTCCTTAAAAGATTATTTTATCTTTACCTAGAAATAAATGTTATGCAAAGCAACAAAAAGCAAAAGCAAAGAGTAGGTGGTAAGATAGTGAGGGACAGAGATACATCTGAACCAAAGTGAAGTTTAAGTTTCACTTACCTTAAAAGCCATAAATTTGTGATAAGGCTTTGGAGCCCAAGCATAAACTTCCACTGAGTTTTTCAAAGCAATTACAAGGAATTTAATTCGCTCGTATTTTACTGTAAGACAAGAACAACAATTTCTAAGGTTGCAGATGGAGCAGATGGTTGGTTTAAACTAAAACCAACTTAATCACATGGAATGATTGGAATTATTAATGGAATAACATTTATATACTGTGTGTGTGATTATACGTTCATTGTTTGCTTGCCAAGAAGTTTTAGGGGATGAAGGTGTTACAGAATGGAGTTAAGGCGTGCTTTATGGGGGAGACAGGCTTGCTCACTCCTTGACACTTAAAACAGAAGCATTTAAAACTTCCCAAACATATACCAGAGTTTAAACAAAGCTATACTCAGGTGTTCTATAATATAGTCACAAAGATAAGCTGTACAATGTCCAACCTGATCTCACTATGGACATTCTACAAACAAAATTTACTAGGGCTTCGCTAGTCCAGTTTTACTAGTTTAACTAGCAGCTACTCAGGATCGGGAGAGAAGCTGAATACTGCACACGTACTGCAAACTCTAATGAAGACCTTAAGTAACAGGAGAACTTTTAAACTGAGCAACAAACTGCGGCCACCTGCGCAGGAAATAGCTGTAATGCAATCTGGTAACACTGCAAGGAGAGAAGCTACCTGGAAATCAAGGGAGCAAAGCATCTGCCACATAAAGTAAGGAGATTTGCCAACAGCCAGAAACATTACGCCCATGTGTAATGCAATTCTGAAATAAAGCCAAATTAAAATGCTGGTGTAGGATGATTAATCAAAGAATGATCATGCAGAACTCTAAGAACAACCCAAAAAGTCCTTACCAACTTTGTAGTGTACGCAGCCTTCCAGCTCACCCACAGACACCCAGCCTTGCCGCTTCTCCACCTCTGGATCATTGCGTAAAATTTTGTTTCTTAGCCACGATAAGTAATACACTCTTAACTTATTCTTCTTCCCTGGGATTTGCAGGAAAAAAACAGGTATAATGATTTAGCTCACTGAAGCACAAAGCCTCTTGCACCCCAAAAAAGCCAAGATCTATGACCTTGAATACAGAAGCCTTCGTGCCTCATCAGGGTGAGCAGAGACTCACAGCACTAGCACAGGAAAGAAGTCTTGTGTGATGATAGCACTCAAGGGGCAACTGGAATATGAACAACCCTATGGCATTTGGCATATGCAACTCAAGCTTCATGCAAGATTTTCCCAATAAAAATTCTTCCCTTAAGCTAGAGAATAGGTCTCTGTAGATACATGTATTATCAGAAATAACCAGATGATCTGGCATTTGCTCTCTGTTGGGGAGGAAGGAATACAAATAGCGCCTGCAACAGTCGTTTTGAATAAGTGACTCTTTTAGGTCCAATTAACTGACAATCTTCATTACAGGTAGCTATTTTCTTTTGGAAGTCTTGTAGGGAGAGAATTACTTCATCATCTTTTACCTCAGTCAACCTTTCTATTGCTTTACTTCATAGGGATGTGGGATCACAAGGTGATCCTCCTAAAGAGGAGGACCACGTCATGCGAACGACTGAAAACTGGCAATAAGGGACAAACAGCTCTTGCCATCACCTACCACTGTGAGTTTGGCTGCAGGAATTGCAGCAATGCACTGCTGGACCTACATCTCTGTCCTCATTCTGTACAAAGCATCCTTAGAGGACACACTTAACTCACAGGCAAATAGGGACAAAGTGCCTTGGCAAGGTAGAATTTAAGATCTTTGTCAGTAGAGGTTGTAGATGCTACTCCATCTGATGCTACTGCTCATTTCACAGCATAGATCACCCCAATATTATTGTTTGTACATCTTCTTGACCACTGAATGAGGTTATTTAATGATATTTTAATATAACTGCACTCTAATTAGTGCTCATCTATCACAGGAACACGTAAACAAACACAAACTGGCAAACTATTACTCGCTGAGAACCAGCTCATTTTAAGGATATGACACACATTATACCTCCTGCAAGCTATCTTACACATTAACCAGATAATGAAATACCCTAAAACCTCATTGGAATCCGAAATGTGAATGTAAATGTTGAAAATTCAAGATTGTTTTCCTATTAACAGAAGTAACTGTCCTGTGATTTTCTGCAAGAGCAAATTCCTCAACCTAGTTTATAACCTAATTCTTCTTTTTAATTGCTTCCAAACCCAATGCAGGTCAGATACTTTTAGACACTGAACTAACCTGATATAGTAATTAGCACATTGAGTCCTTCCAGAACATCCATTTGCTGGAATCGTCTCCTTGTAATTAGGGAATAAACTCTTCCTTGCCCACTTCTGTCCAACAGCCATAACCCATTCTCTGTTCCAACCAGTAAATTCACTCCTGTTAATACACAGTAAGAAAGTAAAACATAAATCGCCTAACGATTCCAATCTTACCCAGTGTTAATTATTTTTAAAATTGATTTTTGTTTGAGCTTTCTTAATGGTACCTGGTAATTTTTCTGTTGTTCAGTGGAAGACCTCTCAGAAAAATGAAAGAAAAAAAAAAAAAACAAATCTCAGCATTAAAGCTTTAACCCAGCAGAACACTTATGTTCACATAACTTGAAGCATGAGTAATTCCGCTGAAGGCAATGTGTTTTTAAACAACAAGGAAAAGCTCTGTGAACTTGAACTTTTCTGCTGACCTTGGAAAGTGCTGGTAAGCACTGCAAAAAACTCAGAGCCCGGCACCACTCTTCTGTCACTCAGGAGATGCAACTGAATGATCTGAGAATCAATTCCAGTTTTAAAAACTATGACCCTCCTTTCTCCCTTGAAAGACAAGATTCAAAGTTCAGAAGGAGGACTAAACTTGTTTAAGGAGGGGCTGCTGATATTAGGAAGGAGAGTGTTTGTTTGGAAAACAGTCTGTGCAAAAATAAATAAATAAAAATAAATATCTTTCAAGTGCCAAAATAAAGGAATGAATCTATCTGAAAATCAATTGCTCCCAAGGAAGCAAAGGCTCCAGTGGGCTGTCAACACCAGAGGATGCACCCAGTATAAAAATTTTGTTTGTTTGCAATGACAGCTACATTTCCTAGTCAGCAGGTTCTAAAGAAATGACATAAGGCATCCTGCTGTAACAAGCAAACTTTCAGTGGCAATGCTCTGCTGAGTACCTGGTGCTCTTCAACCTCAGCATACATTTACTTACAGACCTTGCGACGCAGCTCCATTCTCAACTTAAATCCTTGAGCTTCTTCAAACATGTATTACACAAAACTTGTGAAGCTGCAAACTGGAAAACTACACTTCCTTTAGCTAATGTTTCACCTATTGCATGCACTGTTCATTCCAGACTCAAAAAATGACTACAGGTAAATGGCTGGGTGACTCCCATAGAATACTTCTCTGGAAGTAGACAGATCGTTAAAACAACTCAAGAATTTAGCTGCTGTGAGACTGGGTCAAGGTTTTCAGCTGCTGAAAATCAGTCTGTCTACACTGATCTTGGTTTCATGCCACATGAAGCTGACCCTGTAAAAGGTTGATCCAGCAAGATCGAAACTAAGGAAGGAGAGTATTTTGCAAGAGTGATGCCTACAACGTGCTTCAGACTCCAATTGCTCAAATTCTCACAGGGGGATACTTGGAAGAACTAACAAACACAACAGCAAAAGTCTGCAGAACTTGAAGCATTTTCACTCCTCAACTTGATGGATACCTGGGCAGAACTTAACACAACCAACTAAACACTTATTCAGGTAAGGGAGACAAAGCATCACAAACCTTCTTTGTTTCACATTACTAAAACACTTGCATCTTTTGGCTGTTTCAGCAGAGTTTTAACTTTGTGTCCATGTTTTCTTACACTGATGCACAAAATCCGTTGCAACTGTAACATGTCTGTTTGCCACCTTTTGGGGCGCAGGCAATGCCCTGTGAGTGGTGTGTAGCTACGTACCTAGTGAACAACTCCAGATTTCCTGACAGGAGATGTGCAGTACAACTATAAAACCTGCCTGGCAGATGCTGACAACTGCTACTGCTGCTGTCTTCCCTTCTTACACAAGCCCAGGTGCTTCTGAGCTTACCCCACAAAGCAGCACACAGGATCTCCGAGTTGAATTTCTTCTTGTATTTACGAATTTCTGGACTGTCACTCTGCGGGCGGATATTTGTTGGGTTAACGTTGACAACAGAGCCCTTCCTCACATTCTCTCTCCTGACAGGCTCAGGTTTGGCACTAGATGCTAGAAGAAAAGACATACGGAGTCACAAAAAAATGTGAATGTTGGTCTCTTATTTGGCCTGTTTATGGCAGATCCCACAAAAATCAGAAGACACCCTGGAAGCATAATACAAACAAACAAAAAAAAATCCAGAAAATTTCTCATGTATTCCTGAGTATGTACTGTGAAAACACAGGAGTAGAGCAAGCTGCATTCACAAGCTGTACAATGAAGCTCAGCAATGTGCAGTTTCAGTTCCTTGAGGTGTTAGTGATAGTTTCAATTTTCACACAATAATCTTCCCTGTCTACTCTCCACTCGCCCAAAAAAGGAGAAAAAAAAGGCCTAGAAATGGCATTATATGAGAAGGGTAAAGCATACTCACGAGAATTACAGGGAAGTCCTACTGGACTGGTGGGAGGGGTGATTGGCAGAAGTCTAGGATCTATGAATGAAGTAAATGATGTTGTAGATGATGTACTGCTTTTGGAAGGCGTACTTTCAGTGCACGGTGTCTACAATGAAAAACAAGGTGTATTCAGGAGGACAACACTAGGGGAGCAGACAGCACACAGCAATGTGTGAGCGCCTCTGAAGTTTAGATGAAGTAACATGTGGCATAAATAGATGTGACAAATACAGCAGTAGATACACAGTATAAATTCAGTGAGGAAAACAGAAAGCGTACGCGAAGATTGTGTCAGGATTCTTGCTAGACAGTTCACTGCAATGAAATAATTGGTCCCTAGAAGGGCAGAGTGAACAAGAGTCTCCTTACACTCCAATCACACTGCCCTGTCTTACCAGTAGCACAGGGATTTGAGCAATGTCCTTCTTCAAGGAGGAAGCTGTTGCCTGAAGTAAGGCTGTTTTTAGGCCCCATCTCACGACAGAGCTATTATCTACTTTCAGTAACACGCTTCTCCCCAAGAGAGAGACATAGCATCCCCTATGCTCGTAGCATCATTACAGTTTCTTGAAGCTGCCAAGATGTGTTTCCCTGGTGCCTGCTCCTGTGTACCAACTGACACCTGTGCTGAAGGCAACCCAGAGACAGTGACTAGAAGCAGGCCAGAGCGCTGTACTGATAGCTTTACAGGCAAAGGAGCAGAGGGCAAAACTCATTGAGCTTTCGGGTTTGCGTGTATTTTCCATCTAACAAATCTAATTTTATTGCGTACCTTATTCACAGATTTGTTCTGAGGTTCCTGGCTAGTTAGTGGTACTTTTAACTGGTTCACAGAAGAGTCTGAAACTTGGCTTTGCTGGAGGAGATCTGGCAGGAGATAGTTCTGGTTGTTCACACTCCAGAGGCCTTCTTGGGTGCTAGAAAGTTGTTTCCCTAAAATCGGATCCTGCACAAGAGAACACATGGTTAAAGCCCACATCTGGCACACTTCCAGTACACTAAGCAAATCCAGTTAATAAGACCAATAACTAATGAAGAGGCAGGGGAGGGTGCTACTATACTCTGCACAATGCATCAGGTAAAGATGAGCCATACAGAAAGATTAAAATAAAAAGGAAATAAAAGCATGTGGCAACATCTAAGACTTCAACACAGACTTTCACCTCCTAAGTGTTCCAAAAACATTACTCTTCTACCATACCTCAAGCAGTAGGTAAAGTAGTAACTTAATCCTCAGAGATACTTGACACAGAGAATAAAGTGACTTGTCCTCACCCTAGAGATCTGACCTCTATCAAGGTCAGATGCAGGCACTGCTTGATTCAGGACCTGCATTCAGTTCAAAACACCTTATTAGTTTCATTGCTACTTTACATCTACCGAGTCAGGAAACCTTCTTTTAGAATGATCACATTCACTAGGATCCTGTTTCAACCTTGCCAATAGGTAAGATTTGATTCTGTAGTCCTCCTTGTGGGGTATCTCACTAATTTTGAGGATTTACTAGTAAACTACATAAGTTATGAGGCATCACACAAAGTCTCTCCACTGACGCTGTGAAGTTTACAACTGAGCATTATTTGAATGCTGGCCAATATATCCCACAAAGACAGTCAATTCTAAAAAAAAGATGTTTTTAAAGTCAAGTAATTATCCAGAAAACAATCTCATACTCTGAGTAATTTATATCTTTTTTTAGCCTTTTTTTTTTTTTTTTAAATAACCTGGGTTACTGTTTGAGATAAATAAACAAACTCACTATAAGCTTTTTTGTTCAATTTTGGGGATAGTTTAGCTGAACTGAACCAAACCTCCCTCTGAATTGCTTGGGCAGTTCACTACACCCTAACCACTTCAAATCAGCTCATGCTGAAGGGCCTGGAAAAGGGATGTTGGAAAAAGCCAAGAAGCCTCACAGTCAAATAGGATTCTCTGTGAGAAGAGGTGGGAAAAGCTGGAGGGACCAGATATTTGGGAGGAGAGGTAGAAGTCATCTGCCTGTTCTGCCTCCAGAGACTCCCTCCCCAGGCTCACCAAAAAATGGGACCTCCACCCTTCTCCATCCATTCCATCCTCAATCTGGGACTCAAAAACCCCATCCTTCTCCCTTCCCTCAAACTGTCAATTCCCAGCTATAAGGAGAAAGGAAAGCATTGGGTTGTTCTCACTACAGGAAAGAAAGGGACAGGGTTGAGGTGGAGAACCAGGGGAGAGCTCTGAAGCTGGGAAGGGGAGGCGGGGTTCAAGATTTTGATTCCTTCTCAATCATGAGGGTGGAGATGGAGCAACCATGAAGGTGAAATGGTTTAATGCAGCACAACCATTTCTGTCATGCTGCTGTTCTGAATTGGTGGAAATGAAAGAATTTCATTTCTGGTATGGATCAATAAACTTTAAAATAACAGCTCAAGTTCAGTTTAGATCTGAGGAAGGCAAACAATGTGAGCTGTTGAGGTTACAGCTCAGTCTGATTCCTTGTTTATAATTCCTTCTCCAAAGAAGGGTCTGAAGCTTAGAAATCACACCTGGGGCAAAATAAACTTTTTTACTTTTTCCTTCCTAGCTCCTCCATAGCTCACGTTAGCAGAAGTGGGGAAAACAGTTTCACAGCAATTTATTTTCCCTGTTAAATAAAAATACATTCAATAGAGTGAGAAGTGTTCTGGCATTGTGTGTAAGCCTTATTACTGTATTTTTTGTTTGTTTTGTTTTTGACCACAAAGAACATTGTTCTGCTTTGTGTGACTTCTATCCTGCACTAATATTTATCACTGAGGAAAATCCACAGGACACTTGAAGTCTTTGGCTTCATAGCTGGGAAGGAGCCAGAACAGGGTATATGAGAGGACAGACATTTTCACCCAGTCTAGAAGGATGAAGTTGTTTTTTTCCTCATGCAGGCAACATTAAGAGGCAAAGAATACTTCTCTTTAAATTGGAATAAAAAAGTCACCATTTTTAAAAATGCCAACAATACACATTGACTATAATCAATAGCATTGCTTTTTTGAATTCCTCCAGTGTGTTCAGGGAAAATGTTGATATCACAAAGTACTGCCAGGTCAATAACAAGGACAAATAGAGATGCAAAATTTTGTAACTAAATGTAAGCGTACTTATAGGAAACACAAAACCCAAAACAATTCACATTTTCTCAAGGCTTATGGCTATAATTTGAAATGACTGAACAGGACTTCATGGTGAAAAGGCTGCCCCGAAGAAGTGGATGCAATGTTCATCACGTACATTAATGATCTGGCTCCCCACACACGCTGTACCCACCCCTCTACAAATGGCCAAATTACCTTCTGTTCTGTGACAGTGCTTTGGGGTTTCAGTTCAATTCCATCTGGTACTCTTGTCCTTGAGAAATCTGCCACTCGGTTACTTAGCAGTTGCCTGGTAACAAATTCCAATTAATGAAGAGAACTACTTTGGGGGAAAAAAAAGAAAAAAAAAAAGACCTTGACATACACATGTTCAAAACTGAGTGTAATTAATGTTCACCAGTTACATGGTAAGGTTCTCATACAAACACAAGCTGATCAGTCTGTGGGCCTCCCTGAGCAGCCATGAGTCCAAGGACCCTTCACAGTGAGAAGTTCTCCCCACCTCAAGGGATGGCTCCGCTACAGCTCACGGGTCATTGCGCTGGTCAGGACAGGGAGAACTGCTCCTTTGAGAAGTGCCTGCTTCCAAACGTGTCCTGGCTTGTACACTGCCCTGAGGGGAGCAATCACCAGGCACCCGCAGCTCCTGCAAAGGGCATCGATGCTGGGCAGCTCTAAACTGGTACCAAGCGCTGGGGAAAGCGGCGGCAGGGCCCGTGTGCCAAGGCTCATGACCAGCTATGCTGGAGTTTGAGCCCTATGAGGCAGTCCCTACAACAGGGGATTCTGTTAATCCCCTGATTAACAGAAACAGACAGTGAAGCACAAAGAGGTAGAAGAACTTCAGAGCTGCTGGACTGATTCAAACCAAGTGCCAACCTATTCGATATCGTGTCTTCAACAGTAACCAGAGACAGATCCCTAAGGAAAGGCTAAGAACAGAGCAAGCGCATATTAGGATATACCCTCATTGTTCCAGTTAGCTGCACCTAAGCAAGCTCCTACACAAGCACTGAGACTTTTGTGCTTTGAACTGTTTTGCAGAAATGCAACAACCTCAAACTTCTGTCAATGAAGCTCTGAACCCATTTCTCTATACTTTCATTCCTTATTTATCTGATTCAGAGCCCTCTCATTCCTGCAATCCATTTAAGTGTACTTAGTTTTTGCTTTTTCCAGTAATTAGGAAATTGCCTCAATTCAGGATGCTAGTGTGAAGGGCTCTACAGTGCTACTAGTGCTGAAATGTAACGGTAGAAGAATTTTGGAGCTTTTTTTTTTTTTTTTTTTTCTATGTTGCCAAGGTAGTAATAAAGAATGTGGCGTGGTGCAGAGTTTACTGCTTTAATATGGGCATGAAGAGCTTTGTTTGCTTATTTCTCTCCTACAAGAGCAGTAAACATGGAACATATGCACTGTACAAGCAGGGATGATGCTGGGTCACATACAATGACATCCTTTCCCTAAAGCAAAACAAAAAAAAGGATGTGTTCAAGAAGGAATTCTGGTTCATCTCATTGAAGAGAAAAGCACCACCAAAAGTTGTTTTTTCCGGTAAAGGACAGCTGTCTTGGTCCCAGCTTCCTAGGAAAATTATGTCCTCAGTGAAGCCAGCAGAATCCAACCAAGAGGATATGAACTGTTTTCCTGACTATGCTTATGCCCCTCCCAAGACTTGTCCTCCTAAGTACCTCGATGGAAGGTGGAACGTGAGTATCAAAATCTGCTCCATGGACCGGCTAAGAACAAGAAAAGAGATCACTTTCAACTGCCACCTAAAATCTGGCCCAAAGTGTCTCAGCCAAAACCAACACACAAACACTCCTACAGAAGCAGCTCCAGACCTGGCACTCACAGGCTTTACATAACAGAGGAAAACGGTTTTGAACAGAACCATGCATGCTTTCAGGTGCACTGAATGAGCTCCAAGATTTTCAGCACTCTCCTTCCTTATCCCTCAGCTTTGAAAACAAACTCCAAAAACGCAAATCAGAAGAATATGCAGGCTCAGAAACTCTGCCTTCAGAGCAGTGGAAAGGCCTGGTCCCGGGCCAACACAAAGCTTGCCAAGAGCGCTATAAATCTGTCTCTTCCTGAAGCCTGACAAAACTGCATGGGCAACTATGTCAGAAGAGCAATGGTCCTAACCCAGGGGGCTTTCAGAGCAAACCCTGAAACTCGAGCTAAACTGGGAGGCTCTTTAAAGAAAATTAGAAATTTCATTCATCAATATTATAGTTCTGTTTGCAGTTTCAAATAGCACGATTGACTGACTGATCCCCTTACTCTCTTATACATTTGGCAGAGCAAGTTACTCGCACTTCATTATTTCTCAGCAGAATACATGTTTTGTATGACAGGTAAAACACCACAAGATGTCAGGCACAAGATCAGCAAGAGAAACAGGAAAGCTAAAAGAAAACAGTTACCATGAGATCAGCTTGGTAGAAGCTGCAATGCATCAACTGGTAGCTACAGCAATTTGCAAAATAGTAATATTAAAAATCCAGCAAAACATTATTAGCAAAAAGCAAGTCAAATTCTGCTTGCACCATCCCTATTTATAAATAGTCTGGGTTCAAGAATCAACTTTTCACTGGTAATTATTTCTACTGCAGTAGAGACTGATTTAATAAAATGTTCATGTTTAACCTGCCTTTTTTTTCTCACTGTATTCTGTATTTAGCATAAGAGAATACATCTTTTTTCTTTAAAAAAATTGTATTTAGAAGTTGGTCAACGTGAAATAATCTCTACAAAAGCACGACATGCTGGTATTCAGTTAAAGCAAGACATTTCCTCACTGTCCCAAGGCAGCAAGTCATCAAAGCTTATGACACTGCATACGTCTGATGGAGCAAACATTGACCCCCAGGAGTTCATTATAGGGAGATTATACTGTGTAATTACGGCTGACACAAATGACTGATAGCAGTTTCAGAGAAGCAGTATCTATGGATGCCAACTTTTCCCAGATATTTAGAAGTGTGTAATTAAAAGGAAGAGAGAGGGAGGGGAAAAAAAAAAAAAAGAGAGCAAGCCAACCTTGTGTGGTTCATGTCATCTTCATCGCTGCTGCCGACTTCATCACTAGATGAGGAATAGTCTGCTGCTTTTAAAAATAAATTGGCATTGTCCTTCCCCTTGGCAAAGGATCCTGGACTCTGAATAAAGAAAACTCAACTGATTTTTTTTTTTTTGCTATGGAAAAGCTCATTGCTAAACAGCATGTGCAGTATTTTACTGTCCCTGCAAATGTAGTTACTGTCACTTCCATACTGAAAGCTTTATTAGGAAGCTGATGCTTTTGGTGGTCTATCACTAGAGGACATTTCACACAGAGCAATGACCTAAGGCCAGAATATTTGATTTTCCTAAAAGCTGCAACATGACTGATTTTAATAAGTATGATATTTTGAATCTCAAACTTTTATGATTTAATCTTCACATTTTGCAGGAGCTCCGAAGTACTTTTTTAGTACAAGGAGTGCTTTGCATGGGTACAAGCAGATCATACCAGCCTGAGCTTTATTCTCCATCCCAGACTAGCCTGAGGTTTGCAAGGAGCCCGGTCTGAGTCTAAAGCACCTCTAGGCTTGAAAGGCAGCGTGGACTCACACGGCTCACATCTGCAGAGCCATTTGCAGCCCAGATCTCCATGAAGTCATACATGGGCCTCCCACATTATTGGCAACGGCCTAAACATAAGGCCTTTAGCTAGCAGCATTTGAGGCCACTAGGATGCTATGGCCTCACACAGCAAGTGAGCTGCTGCCCAGCTCTGCATTCCTTTGGACCACCCAGGCTCCCTGCAAACTTCTAAAATGCCACCTGTCCCCTATTCGACCTCTTGCACAAGGCCCGGTGAGCTTGTTACCTGACAGGAAACGCCTGCCCTCACAAACAACTCTGAGGCTCAGTAAATAAGATACAGAAACAATAATCTTCCTTTGCACCAGCTGCATGTCAGCAAGTGGCAAGCGAATACATTCTTAAGAGTGTGTATTCTGGGCAGTTATAACTTGGATATAAGCACAGGCTACCAGCCTGGTCTTGACTCCTGCGCTCCAGGCTAACTGATCGGCATCTTGCATCTTCCTTTCTAAACATTTACCCAACACACACATCTGAGTGGGTGCAGGAGATGCTGGTCTCTGCCATGATCTGTGCTGGACACATATTCAAGCAGCTCTGGCAGCTGCTGAGACACGCCAGCACAGCAGGACACAGGGCCACACTCAGTCCCTCCGATGGCCTAACCGTCTGCAAGCCCAAGCACTACCTGCCCTTCATGGACACTATGAGCAAGACAGAACCAGCAGCAGAGAGGAGAGACCTACTGCAATCTGGCCTGGATGAGGAGTTTTTTCAGACTTCTTGGGCTGCTGCAAGTGGTTCTGGGACAACACAGTCTCTGCCTTGGCCAGGCCTGGATTCCCTGGAGAAAAAAAAAAGGAAAATTTAAATGCTTGTGCAAGAAAGGAAGAACGAGAGAAAGAGAGAGAAGAGAAGGAGGTAGGGAGCATTAAGACATGCCCATATTGTTACCACTCAGAGCTGGCACCAACCTCTGCTACCAAACTCAGACTTCTTTCATCTTTGCAAAGAAAAGACTTTTTGCCTTTTTTTTCCAGCATTTCTGAATGCCACAATATTTTATATAAAGTTCATACCAACACAGTTTAATGCTCCAAGGGTAAGAAAAGCGGACCAAAAACCACAGCAACGTACTCCACTGTGCTCCAGAAATGACTCAGTGGCCGAGAGCAAGGCTTGCAGGGAAGAGACTAATCCCTTCTTTTGACTCCCTGTTGAGAGGGGACAGCTCATCACAGCAGTAACTGCTGGGTATATTCCAGCATTCAGGGTGCCATTCTGCTACATTCCCGTGTGACTTCAGACAAAGGGGACAGGGCAGGATTCCTAGCCCTGTGGTGCATGGTTTCATGAGCGTGTAAGATCAGGTGCGAAGATGTGACCTTTAGACAACTATAAAGCACAAGAAGTTTAAGTTCTCTAAACCCGAATGGGCTTGGTGCAAGCAGCTCCACTAATCTCCATGCCATGTGCTCAACCTAAAAGTAGAAGAGAATTGACCACTTCCCACAGTAACAAGGGGAAGAGCAATTTTTCAGTCCCAATTTCCCCTCTACACCTCAGGGGCACATGGAGTGTCACTATTCAGCTCCTGCTTGCAAGTAACAAGTGAGTATGTCCCTTCAGTGCTCCTGCTGCCCACAAAGCTACCCAAGGAGAGCAAAAGCAGCCTTGGAGCCATGCTGTTTCTGCACACAAGCAGACAAGTGGGAGATGCAGAGAGGGCCGGCAGACAGGCCCCCACCTTGCCACCGACACACGTCTCCTTCAACAGCTTCCTCCGTGAGTGTCCCCACTGCTACCATCTGGGCTCCTTGCATGAGGAGGGGACAGAATTCAAGCCCACACAAATCTGGAGTTGTGTTTGCTCATTTAGGTACTTCTATCACAATGGTTATATGCAGTCAAGCAGTTTGCTTAATGTTCATAATGCCTTATTGGTCAACGAGAGCCTAAGCAACTCAGCAGCAGTATTAGTTTTAATGTATTTATAGCCCTTTCCTGTCCAATTCATTATCCCTGTGGGTTTGGGAAAGCAACAAACTCTTTCTGGAACACCATATGCCAGAACTAGCTGTAATTTAATGACGCTTAAGAACCCAAGGAGACAGTTTAAACCACAGGGGAGGTTTTCTATTCTTTCTATGGCTGGTGAGGTTTTCATTTCTCCATGCCAAAATAGCACAGAAATTACATATCATGCAGACACTGCAAAGCTGAGCTGTTGCATGTTGCTCATCACTACACTATTATTCAAACATAAAATGACTTAAGAGCAAAAGAAACAAACCCTAAGCAGTTCAAAGTGTGCTTTGGATGCTTCTTGAAGCTAAGCTTCCTATTCTGTGCAGTTAGTGAAAGCAAAATTGTTGCTTGTGTAAGTGTAATAAGTAGGCAATTTGTTCTTCATTTATCAAGGGTTTGTAAATTAACAATGTGAACTTCAGTTTAAAAATAAATGACCTCATCAGTTTACTACTGTGGTTTCTCAGAACACTTGAAGTGTCCACCCTGCCTTTAACTGGGAACGATTCTCCATGTCAGCCAGGATGCAAAGCAATATAAAACATCACCACTCTGCCAAGAGCTGCACTAGAAACTGCCCTGGTGGTGACCTAAAGAAAACACCCTCAGGAGTACCTAGAGGGGAAGATGACTGTCCACATCCACCCACATCCCCAGCTGCTGGGGCTATAGGAACCACAGCCTGCATTGCAAAAAGCTCCACACAGGTATGAGCAAACCCACTGTCCCTGGCATGCCTCAGCCTCATTCACTGTACACAAAGTAGTTTTGTAACTCTACTTTTAAATTACTTTTGCCTTTTTTTTCTCCCCCTCCTCCAGTTCCAGTCCGTTTCTGTAAATAAGAGGATACAGGAAGAATGTTTTATAAGATGTTATGTGAAGAAACTTATGCTTCCTTAGGTCAGAATAACATTAGAATACAGAAGTAGAGTTCAACAAATCAACAAATGCTCATCTGTTTAGTGGGTCATGAAAAAGAAAAAAAAAAAAGCACCGAAAAAAGGCAGAAAATGCCAACAGATTAATATTATCCTTGTGTTTTTTTCACTTCTTAGTGGAGGCAATTCGAGTCTTCTGTATGGAAATACAGTCACAGCCATTTTCTGCTTTGAAAGAGGAAGTGTTTATATTTTAGGAACATGGAGCCATAAAATCCAGAGGGTTGCAAGAAGCCTAGCACCAGAAGAAACCCCATTAGAAGAAATCCCTTAGCAATGCAGCACTTCATTCCCCACACAAGTTTCAGCTTCATGTGATAGGAATTTTGCACATTTCGATTGATGAATCATTGACTTAAAATCACCTGCGGTTGATCGGTTGCTCTGATGAGATCCCATCTCCCACTGCTTGTTGCCAGGAGAGCCACTGCTGCCGCTTAGTTTCAGAATGTGCCCCCCAGGGGACAGCTGATGAGTGTTACTAAACAAAAAGACAAAAACCAGATGAGTGTGGCATTTAGAAACACAGACTGGAGTGGACCTCCCAGGCCATGTAGTTGAGTTCCCTGTTGCTACCATATGATGTAAGTCTTGGTAAAAAAAGAACTTCACATTCACTGCTGCTCCAAGCAGAACTGAAGAGGACATGGAGGGGACACTTTCTTCTGGACATTCATGCTGGCAGATTACAAGAAACCCCATTACAAATTGTCCTGCTATATGTATTCGTGCCTCTTCCAATCTGTGTCACTTGATTCCAAAAATCTTATGCCTTTTACAAATAATGAAACCTGCTCCAATACCCTCCTAGAAGATTAAAAAGTAAAACTGGGGCTCAGCCAGGCCTAGAAACTTCTCACTCATAACACTATGGTCTACCTACACAATACTTTTTTCTTTGCTTCCTTTAGTTCTTAAAATTGAAAGCATTTAGGGCTTGACTTGAAAACTACTTCACACAATGTTTCTGACTTAGGCTCCTGCATCCTTGGTCTTTTCTCCTGGCACTCCAGGTATTCCAGCCTTAGGGGCAGCCTGACAAAGTTGTCAAGATGCATCTCCCAACAGCCTGCTCACACACGTGGCTGCTACAACTGCAGCCACGCAGAGCAAAGGCACCAGCTGCAACATGCACACACAGGGAGCTGTGGGCAGGAGCCCCGCTCCAGAAGTGGCTATGATGACACAATCAGATGTCAATATTTTGGGATCTCCAGTAATTGGCATTGCCAAATGGTGTAGAAGAGCTTAAATGACCGTGCAACTAGTACCCATTTACAGGGAACTGGATGCACAACTTGCATGAGATCCACTGAGGCAAGGCAAATAGGCTGAAATTATTACAGATGAAACACAGTCACTAGATCAGCCCTTATACTTCAAAAATGCTGTTTTCCATAGAGAACAGAACTACATTACATCATGAAGATGAAATGAAAAGGAGGTGATGATCTATGTGAATCTTGTTTCTCTCAATCAGATATGTCAGTCCTGAAAAGGAAGTTGGTTGAGACACTTTCTTAAGGTTAACAAGCAAGAAATTTGGTTAGTTATTTAGTGGAAGAGCTACTTAGAAGACAAAATAACTGCAACTGCCATTAAATGGGGTATGAACCAATGTCAGTTTCAGAGTTACTGAGGTTAGGGCTTTGGTTTTAATAAGCTGGCTACAATTTTCCTACTGATAATAAATCAACATTAGTAGAAGCATAAAACACGGAAGAGCTTACCTTGAAAGACATCTCTGATGGCCAGGCTGATCCCTGCCGTAAAATTTAGAGGTTGTCCTTTCAGGAACCTTAAGGATTTAATCAAATGTTTCAAGTTTGCTACTGATATTTTAGCCTTAGTTTAGAAACTTAATGCTTGCCCTATATCAGTATAAAACTGAGACAAACCAACAACAACAAGAAAATGCTTCGGTGGTACTTCTGGAACCAGGTCTTTCCTGACACTGACCTTGGAAGCTGCAGGTCAGCAGAAGGTCCTTCCAGTTTGTTCTGAGCTTGTGCAGTTTAGCAAGGCACAGCCTGTAAGTGCTACTGCATCTTTGCTTGGTGTCAGCCTTATTTTTGGTCAATATTTAAAGCAAACAAGAAAACACATCTGCGTTTTCTGACTGCAGCTTTTCCTAAGTGAATTGCCTTATGTTGCTACCAAATAAATAAATAAATAAATGGCAAATATCACCTGGAAAACAAACGAACAAAAAGCACACACACACACACACACAGATACCCCCCACATGCAAATATTCTGCACTCATCCTTAGGAATTATTAAAAGCAGATATATAATAGCATCTGACATAAACGCTAATGAGGTTTTCTGCAGTAAATCAAATTCTTCACAGAAAGGGAATCTACAAATACTTGTTCTAACAACAGAGATGTATTTATATGCACCAAATTCCACTGATACTGTATATTCCCACATGCACGCATGTGCATGCAGACACACATGGAGAATACTGATTTGCTTAATCTTAGGGGCTCCTTTCTGGATTGATGAGACACAGTCAAATACACACAGATCCTGCCCAGCTGCAGAGGAACTGACTTGAGCAATGTAAACCGCAGGCAGCTCCCAACGCCCCAGTTCCACATACCTTTGGGGGCTGTTCTTCATTTTGACTCATATTCCAGAATACATCGTCCTGTCCAGGGCTGACTGGTGTTGTCACCATATCTGACAGCGAACTGCTGTGGTATGCATCTCTACTAGCCCGGAAATTTTCACACTTTAAATAAATGAAGTACATATTGAGTTGCACTTCTCTGCCCTATAACAGGTCCCAATGCACAAATGTCAACTATTTTGTTTGTCAGATCAAGGTTGTAGCAAATGCCTGCAGTACTCTCACACAATATAGCCTGCCTTACTTCACTCGCTGTAAATTACTGTTTTTCGGCTTGTTAGGCACAAATATTTCAAAATGAAAGGTACAATAAAAAGAAATATTTAGTAAAACATTTATGATGTACATATATTTCTGCATTATAAATCTATGGGGAAGTTAATAGGTCATTGGCAATACATAGCCAACTGCTTAACTGGATGATGCAAAACAGATTTTGCTAATAAAACATTTTCAGAAAAAAAGGGGAAAAAAAGGCAGCAAAAAGCCACTTTCTTAGAGTCTTTGTTCCAAGTCAACATCACATAAGTAATATGAAAGTCAAGTTGAAACACTCGAAATTTGTTCCTCTGATTATTTTTGAATTAAAAAAAAAGGAGAAGGAAAACACCCTTCAATTCTATACACTAATAAACTATTATACTTTCAAAAGAGGAAGACAAGGAAGAGAGCTAGAAAGGTCAACTCCAAGTACTGTTTTTCTTTCAAATGAGAAATCTTCTTGGACACCAGACTGAGACAGAATATACAGAAACACTGCATGAGCTGGGCCCATCCTGAGGAATTTTCATGCTAGAACCAACCTGATGTTAGAGAAACAGTAAATATATTAGAGAGATGCCTGAAGCGACACCGCTTTATGCCTTATCTCGTCAGATCTCGCGTGCAAAGCGGGACAGGGGCTCTCCAGAGATCCCGGGCCTCTGCCGAGTTCGCTCCCACTCGGAGTCTTTACTTCTGTGTCCTCACTGAATTGCTGCAATCTGGCCCAGGGGCAGCTGCAGTTGAGTTTCCCCCAAGGATGACCCGGAGGAATATTTTACTGATTTATCAGCTGAGGTCTGCAATATTCTCCTGTTCCCTCAGTCTCCTCAGGTGAAAGATGTTACAAATACACGGCAAACGTATTTACCTAATATTTCATTAAAGTGAAGTAACCTGTATTAAAAAGTAAAACAGTAACTGAGAACTGCACAGAGTCTTTCAAAAATAAAACATGGTTATGTGAACTCCCTATAACTCTACAAAACATCCACAAATGTCTTTTCACAATTTCCCTATTTAGGAAAGGAAAAACAGTCCTGACAAGTTCAGCTGGTTAAATATTCAGGTGCTTCTTCTTCTTTTTGGGATAATATGTTCTGTTGACTTCCTTTACGGAAAATAGCTGTTTCAGCAGTTACAACATCTAATAATCTGTGCCCTTTCATTTTGTCAAAACTACTTTTTCGTCCAACATGACTGTCACTAATAATAGTTTTTAGTTAACTGGAATTATTTTAACAGTAAAGTGTTCCCTTGCAGTGACTCATCTTGGGGGTAGGAATAGGTTTTACAGCAAGTTTATCATTATGAGTGCAGAGGCAGTCTTTTTCCTTACCACTTTTTCAATAAGATACTAAAGCACCTTCCTAAATTCTGGCTTTTGAGTTCTGCAGACACTGAGAAAACTATTTGGGTTGAAAAGCAGGAGTGAGCAGTGCTGAATTGAGTGCACTGAGTTTAGGTGACCCTCCACAGGTGGCACAGACACATCAGTACACCGGTGCCATGCAAAGCCAAGCAGCAACACTTGGTTGTAGGGATGATTTCAGTAGGACATACAATAACTTCTGACCCCAGAAGTCAGAAATGTTTCAGATAACCTCTCAGAACTATGTTGCTTTATATTCCCTTAAGTTTCAGACCATTTACACGGGAGGAAGCACCTAGCAGCAATTCTAAACTCGAGCCTAAACTGTTTTTTTTTTAATAAGTAATACTGCAAAAAAACAGCAGCACCCCTGACATGCAGACAGCATTGACAGACGAGGTGGTATCTATTAGGTGTCCTCAAACCATAAAGGTACAAGATAATGGAGCAACGGAAAGAAAGCCTTTGCTTCCCAAGACCTGCAAATGCGGCACGGCATAGCAGAAAAGATCAGTGAGTAGAGGTAGCTCCAAAGGATTTAGGAGTGAGAAGCTTAAAACAGCAGCACCCCTGACATGCAGACAGCATTGACAGACGAGGTGGTATCTATTAGGTGTCCTCAAACCATAAAGGTACAAGATAATGGAGCAACGGAAAGAAAGCCTTTGCTTCCCAAGACCTGCAAATGCGGCACGGCATAGCAGAAAAGATCAGTGAGTAGAGGTAGCTCCAAAGGATTTAGGAGTGAGAAGCTTCAAAAAGACAAGCTGCGCTGCTTTCTGGGGATGCCTATGTTACTGATTTGAACCAAATCTATGTACAGTGCTAGATATGTGCAAATGTTGTTACAAAAACAGCACATGGACTGGAATTTTCTTAAACTTATGGGTACATCTGCTCTGGGATACTGGATCAATCCATGATATAACGCACAGATAGTTATTTCAGTATTGTTAAATTTTTTGTTCTGGTTTGGCTCCATTACTCTAAGTCAGAGGAGATCTAACCAGCAAATCCTATAGGAAAACTACAAAGAAAAAAAACATATATATAAACAAGTTTGTCAGATGTGGGCTAAATTCCTCTGCTATCCAGACAGGAAACACTAGGCAGGGACCCAGACTCAGTGACAGTTCACAAAGACTCTGCAAAATTCTGCAGCTAGTCCAGAATGGCTCCTTCCCAGACAGCACGGACAACCAGCAACCCACCTGCCACCATGTTGCATCTCACCAATAAAGACAAGCACAAAAGAGCTACAGAGGGTACAAGTCACTGAAAAATTCTGTTCCTTTCATCTCAGGGGCTGCAGTAACTTTTCTAGTGTAATCATTTTGAGGGAAATTTGGGAAGCCAGAAGGTACCATATAATCTCACAGTATGCAATAGCTTAAAATAAGAAATCATTTTTGTCTGAACAGAATATTGACGACAGATGATGCCTCTTGGACAAACCTGGATAGATGTTCTTCAGCATAAACATCTGTGATGAATTCAGCTTGCAATTTTGCTCTGCAGTTCCTTTTAACCTACAAAAACACAGTACCTACGTATTGAACTTTATGAGTATATTGCTTTGAGTCTTTCAATCTCTAGGTGACTAACTGGCCCATCACTCATATTGCAGTATAACTTTATAAAGTTAATACAGGCTGCACTTCCAAACACACAGCTATTAGCATCAACAGCTGCTGCCAGTCAGTGAAAGGAAATGCAGCCCTTAGGAAGATTTATAAACTGCGCATTGAAGTTCATCTGGTTTCCATGCAAACACAGCAGGTAAGACTACAGATTGGTTTCTCCCCGGCTGACACAATCTCTATCAACTGGAGTGCTGACTTGTGCGTGGGTAACAGGGCAGCCACCGGCAGCAACTGAAATCACAGGGTAACAACTATATATCTCTTGCTGCTAGTATCCTCAAGTAACACCATCGCTTTAAACAGCATCAAATTTTTATAGTGTCGTTTCTATCAAGAAACGTGAAAGAGGGTGATAAATAATGATTCATTACTCACAACTCACTTAAGTAGCTGGGAGATGTAGTACCAAAAAGAGCAGCAGCAACAGGAACACTGAGGCATATAGAGATTAAGTGACCTGTCCTAGGTGACAAAGAAGTCTGGGTCGTAGCCGGACTAAACTGTGGCTCCCTTCACCCACCACATGCCATTTTAATGGGGCAGGATTATTCCCTGTACAGCCCCTGTGCTCCTGGAGAGTCCAAGACACCATGCAACAAACTATGCATTCTCCCCCTTCGCTGGCAGGGCTGAAATATCCACCTCAGGGAAGCTGTCAGCCTCTACCCAAGGCTAAGATACAAATGTCCTTCCCGTAGACCTTGCACCAGCTCTCCAGTGATTCAATGTGGCCTTCTACAAGCCAGGCCATCAACTCAGCCCAGTCACAAAACCGATAACTTGAAATGATAAATGCGCCCTGGAAAAAGGGTTGTGAGAAGATGCACAAATATTTTCCCAGCAAAAAGCTCTCACATGAAACATGGCCTTTCCTTTTCCAACAAAGGTCTATGGTGATTTATCTGTCACCGCCAGGCAACGACAACCCAAACAGGAAAGGCTTTGACTTAAAGATGCTAAGAGTCTCCCACAGACTCACTTTAACACATAAGAGGAAGCAAATAAGGAGAGTTGAGCCAGAAAACCTGACCTGCCTTTCTGGAGGACCCTGGCTGCTGGAGAAATTACGGAGCACTTCAAAAAAACAGAGTCAAAGAAGGCAGAACACAGGAGTGGTGCTACAAGCAGGACACACCAGTACATGCTGAGCACAGCACGGGTACGCAAGGGTAGCACGTGCAGCTGCTAATGTGGCCATGATTTTTATGGTGCCTTGGACACCACTGACCAAACCTCACAAAAGTGGCTGGAGAGGGAATGGGAATTGTTCAGCCATCCAGGAGCCTGGCACGAGCGAGCCCCTTCCAGGGGCGAGTGCTCCAACAGCGTGTCCGTCTTGTTGAGCGGATGAAAGGACACGGGAACACCGTGCTTGGGGGAATTAGGGCAGCAACGAGGTTATTGCTGTCGCTGCTTGTTTTCAAAGCAGAGATTTCCAGGTGAAACGAGCTGTGCTCACATACACAGGGTTTTACTGAGTTTCTATTTGCTGTCTTGCTTTTCTTTCAATCATATGTGCTTGCAAGCCCCTCACAAGAGATTGGAGCAGAAAGAAACTGTAGCCTAAGCTAATTATTTTACACACTGTGAAAGTGAGTTTCTAGATACACTGTGAGAACTCTGCTCTCCCACAATGGGTAGAAATAGCAGGATCTAAAATATTTTGAGAAAAGGATTCTCATGTAGAACTATTTCATGATGTTTTCATAATATAGAGTTACTTGTTCAGCACTTTTACCTTTTGTACTAGAGTTTTAAGCCAGTCGAGTCAGAAACCAGTAACTAACTGATTGGTATTGGGTGATTTCTGTCAAATTGACAAAAACATGCAAAAGCTGCAGAGATGAGCATAAAAGAACATAAAGAAATACTCAGAAGCACCTTTGAACATGGAAGGTGTGAAAAGCTTGGCTCAGAAGGTATAAAGATATTAAAACAAATACGCCTAAAATATTTCACGTTTCAACAAGAAAGCAAGCACATAGCACGCCGTGTACAAGTGAGAGAGATCATCTGAGCCTGTAAGGCCACCACACAAGGACAACATATTAGTGGGTACCCAGAGGATGGTGCCACTGCAGGCACACTCAGAGGTCTCATGCACACATCCTAAGGATCAAGTCTTGTTCAAGATGCACCGTAGAAGATCTTTTGCACCAGGTACATTAATGTCAGGGCTCTTACATTTGTAACTGAAAAAGATCTGTTCCTCCATAAGAGGGTAAGTGGTGACCCAGCAGCTGAAGAATAGAAACAGCTCTTCACAGACTTTATGGACTCTACCTGGAAGCAGAATCTGACTCTGCACTGGTAACTAGATACCACTGCATCTCTATGTGCTTTTAGATTATTCTATAAGATCACTAATAATCTTGCTTGTGTATGTGATTTTCAGGAAAGTCACTCTGGTTTAGACTAGTTTTGCAAAGTGTCACAAATATTTATGATGCCATATGAATAATACACCATCCAGAAACAGCACGCTCATTCAGGTTTTCTGCAAAATATCTAAGAGTAATACCATAGAATCAGCACAGTCAGGCATCAAGCATCTAAAAATAACTGTTATCTAACCCCAATTTGCAATGCCTAAATATAATTCCACTTATTATTCAGTAGCACATGGTGGCACCAAGAATCTCTGAGGCAGATTGTCACAACCCTCAGTCATTTATGCGTGGAAGCAGAGGGAATCAGGTTTCCCATTTACTATTCTGCTCAGAAACCATCCCGTGCTTTCTCTTCCCCGCCGGAGCAGCAATACCATACCTGTACTAACACAGCTCTCTGCATTGCAGGCGTGCAAGGACTGGAGCTACTGCCAGAGCCCATCCTAGCGTGGGGGGCAGCTTCGTGCCCAAGCACCGCTGACCATTGCAGGGAAGGCTGGATGCCGTCACTTTTCTTTTTTCGGTCCTCAGCCTGAGGAGGAGAGAAGAAAGTCGTATATTCAGTCTCAGTCTTCACAGCCTGGACATTCTCCGAGAGCAGCATCAAGTCTGATGGGGCTCCTTGTCAGCGAGAGGGCAGCCCTGGCACGATACTGGCCAATACTGTCACTCATTCTGCAACCCTCTCTCCCTCATCAAACTTCTGCAGCAAGCCTCAATATCACCCATTCAAGGAAAAGGGGCACCAGATGTGCCTCAATTGCAGCCTGCCTTTTATCCCCCCAGACATCCCATTTGCTACAGGCTGAGATTTTAAGTAGGAGGAATCATCCCTCCCCATTCACTTATTTTTATAACATTCAGCCCATTTTGCCATGCATTTATTACTTGCTTCTACAACAGTGATATGACTGCAAGTGGCTTTCCTCTTTAAAGCACTTTTAAGGCTCTGTTCTATAGTGCCTTAACTGCACTAAGCAAAAAGTTTGAGGAAAATGATTTGGAAGGAATACAGGTCCTTTCATTTCCTGAGGGCTCTGCAAATTACAGAATCTTTATCCCATGGTTTTGACCTCACTGATCCTTCTGGTTTCATTCCACATAACTAATTCTCATTCTCTAGTATCAATCTTAAGCACATCCTGTGATTCAGCAGTCTAGAGACAGTTCTGCCCAGCAAGCTACAGATTAATGCTATCTCACATCCAGGTCTCTGTCTGGACGGGCATTTTTAATGGTATCTCTCACTGTATCTGCATGTCTGTGCCTATGTCAGGAAGTTAAGCACATTCTGAACACAGTCAAGGAACCTGCTGAGGAGACAGAAAATAAATCCTTTTAGTCTCACAGACCTTGATTAGAAGAGAGACTTATAAAAACATGCAACCACAGCCAAATACCAAGAAATCCTAGGCCCAGTGAACTCAGTGGTTGTATTACTCTTGAGGCCATGTTTAGGCAACTCCTAACACTGAAGGCAGAATTTCACCATAAGCAAGAAAGAAAATGGAAAAAACATAGGGCAGTTTTACTATGCTGGAAATAACTTCACTGATACATCTGTGGCCCCAGAGGGCACCTGCATGCAATATGTTATGGATTAAATGTGAGCTCCTTCAGCCTGTACGTGGTGCTCCCAGCACTGCCTCCAGCTCCCATCCAGGCACCAAGGCAACAAACCAGCGCAGCAGCCAACCCAAGAGAAGGGTCCCTTCCCCTCGGCTCCTGCGCCCGCCGCTCGGACGTGGCACGGAGCACAACTGCTCACATCAGGGAAAACCTGCTCTGACCTGCCCGCAAGAGGACAAGTGCGACAGCAAAGATGAGCAGCTCCCACAAGAAGGTTCTGTGGCTCCAACTTGCACAAGGTTGAGGTTTGGAAGGGATGGGACGTTGGGTTTTTGGCCTTGTTTATTTTTTTTCCTTTCTTTCTGATCTCTCAACACTAATTTTGGACAGTTTTCATATAGCAATAAACAGCCCTACAAATGCCACAGAGACCCCAAAGTTACACAAAGAACACTCCCTAGGAGGGCAGGCTTCCTCCATCAATGTATAGACCTCTCCAACAGAGAAACTGGCATCCCTTCTGGCATCTTCTTATTACAAACTGGGGAAGATCAGTATTAACAAGACCAAATTCACTGAGTTATCTATCACCAGTCACAGCCAAAACTTTTAAACATTTCCTTGTGAACAAGTATGACTGCCAACATAGTTTCAAAGTCTCAAATTTCAGCCAAAAAAATGCCGCCCTTTTCCACTAATTACAATTTTAGCGGAAGAATTTCCAAAAAGTTTTGAGATTATATAAATGATGTTTTAAAAGAATTTGTCCACAAAACCAGAGCATATTATGGGAGCCATAAGAACACGGCATAGAGCTGTGAACCAGCATAGAGCTGTGAACCTAAAGGGTCTGTGCGATTTTCCTTTTGTTTGTGTACTGCTTCCAAAGGAGCCTAACTTAGCCGCAGCTAGATATATTTTATCTCATGTGCAAATTAAAAGTTAATAGTGACTACATACAAAAATTCCATAATACATTTAATTCTTCTGTCATTTACAATACGTGCCAAAACTAGAAATGAGTACTTGAGCTGACATTTTGTGGTTCTTTTGTCTTTTAGCTACAATGAAGAAAAGAAAGTTAAATGAGCTCAATGCTTCATTTGCTCCCCCACCTCTACCCCTGGGCCAAGGCCTCGTAGAGGGAAGCCACTTCTATTGACTTTTTTAGTGCCCATTTAGCCTGAGGATTGCCTCTCTACTCCAGTATCTACTTACTCCCTAGATGGAATAAGATATAATGAGAAAACAAAGTTAAACAAAACCTGACCCCCTCCTACTTGTATAAATAATGGTTTCAAAAAAAGCTAATTCAAGTTTTAGTAATGATTTGTTTAATCAGTCAGTGCAATAAACTCTTTGGAGTTAAGGTATTCATTAGACAGTTAAGTTGCACTTCAAACAGATTTAGAGAATCTCTTGCTTTCACAAGACAGCTACCCTAACAAGGGACTTTATCTTCTTTTTGATTTCATATCACTGCTTAGCTTAGCACTGTTTGTAGATTCTATTCAGTTATTAAAATGCATAATTTCAACAATTGTGACAAAACATCTAACTGTTTAACTGTTTATTAATAGAGAAATCTTCACCTTGGAGAGCTGGTTGTAGGGCATACACACCAACTGCCACCAAGAAAAGCTTAGAGACTTGTTGAGAGACTTTAGCAAGACACATTAATAAACAGGACTCTGCATTCCTTCTACACACATGTATACACAGGCTCTCCTAGAAGCCTTTTTTGGGGTATTTTAGGCAGGTGCTTTGCTATGAAGCACTACTACACCTAATATTCTATTCACATAGCTATAGCTATAGTGTTCACATAGCTATACCCTAGGAGGGGCCTGCAAGCTGTCTTTTGCTTTAGGAAAACAGCAGTCCCATCGGCTGTGGAACTACAGTCACAAGCTGGGGATATATAAAATAAAATAAAAATAAAATAATTTTAAAAGTACACTACAAACTGAGAGGTAAGATATGTGAAATGGACTCCTAGCTGTTCACAATATGGTAACAGTAGGCTGAACAAGCTGGTGAACAGAAATACTTTCCGAATTAGCAAAAGAGATTGAAACAGATAACAACATGTAATAAAAGACTATATGACTACTCCATAGCCATCAACTCTGAAATACCTAAAATCCTGGGAGCTAAAAAACAAGAAAAAACACCACAACAGGACACTGGAGCACAGAGACCTGTGCTTAGGAAGCAGGACACAGTTCAGAATCTGGGTTATCTTGTGAACCCCAGAGTCAGGCTAAGACATCAGTAAATCCTCAGACAACGCTGCCTTGATTCATTCCTCTGGGAGACAAGTGAACAACACCTGATTAAGGAGCAGAAAGATCTCGCTTCCCTCCTCACCACGGCCAAATGCTTCTCTGGACTGCAATAGGCAGGACAGAGGCCAACTCCTACCCTCCATATTAACAGAAACCCAAGGCTTTTCTGTACTACACGTGCATAGGAAGACACAGGTCAAGCCCCAGACACAGGTTGAAACACCAGCCTGTTCTCTGCTTCAGCACTACAAATTGCACCTACGACAAAACGCTGCTTTGGGCGAGATGCTACCTCTTTGCTTGTATTGCCTGCTGGAGGATGTGCTGCTGCAACTGAACTTTTGGGAGGCTCCTTTTTCTTCTGTTTGTGGTCGTGCTGGAGAGACAGCAGCTGTGTCTGGTCTTTGGGGAGAGTTCGATGAACCTTCTTGTTGTGCTGCTGCACGTCTTCCAGCTTTTTCTGAAAGTAAAGCAGCAGCAGTGAGCTTCAAAGGGAGGAACCTCTTGGAGGACAAATGAGTCTGCTAGAAATACTGGCTGGGTTATTTTCAAAAGGAGAAAAGCGAGCAGCATTTCAGCAAGGCCTGAAGAGCTAGACCCCTAAGCAATAAGGAGCATAAAATGACCTCAAAGAGATCTTGTTTGGCTTCTGGAAGACAAGCTTGACAAAACAGCTTGGCTTTGTTTCTTTTTTCTTCCTCAAACACAGCAGAAAATCATGTTTTAGCCTTTACGTTTCTTAAAAACAGAGGGCGTTATCAAACACTTCATGCTTTAATCTGATTACAAATCCATTTGCCTGTTGAAGCATTACAAAAACAATGTGGCCAAAATGACTTGACAATGAGATTTCAGTATTAAAATCAATGCCCACTTCATGTTCATTTTTGAAAGAGAGATGCTCCTGGTTATAACCCAAAGACAACCTAGAGATGCTGGAGGTTTAAGCTTAAGTTGAGCAGATGCTGGAAGTGTTCAGGATAAAGATACTTTAAATCAAACTGAAGCAGCTGAAGACCAGCACAGCAAGGGGAAACAACAGGGATGGAAGCACCATGCTCATGGGAGAGGAAGTGCCACTGCTGTAGATAAGAGAATGACTCAGTAACATGCAATAATTCAAAGGAAGGGTGAGGGGGAGAACAAGAGGCAGTAAATACATTTTTTAAAGTCCCCCTCTGGTCTGTGACTCAGAGGATGGGAATATGCTCGGGGAACAGAGATCATCATCAGCGCCAGGAGTAGGGAGCTGTGAACGGCTGTCAATAAACACTCATTTTGTACCTGTTTCTTTTCTGATCTTCCCAGGCCATCCAGCATGCACTGCTCATCTTCCACAGTCCTTTTGTCCTCCGTCCGTTGCACAGCCTTAGCCTCTGGCCACCTCTGCTCACACTCCTGCTGCCTCCGGAGCTCTTGCTCTCGCCTTTGATGCTAGATAACGGCCAGGAAACAACGTTGCTCGTTTTTCTTTATTTCTGTACCCACATTCTTCATGCTGGTACTCATTAACCACAAGGTCCCTTTCCTGATACGCGCTCAGCATTAGGGGATACCTCAAACCCACCACAGCAGGAGCAGACAGTCACAAATCGCCACCACGATGACTGTCAAACGCTAGATGTAAAACTTTTGCCCTTTTGGCAATCAAAGACATTAATTTCAGTGGGCATATGAGTTTTCTGTGGTGGCTGGCAGCTAATCTAACGACAGATGCCTTCCTGTCATTTCAAGAAGGAACAGTTTTATAGAAGTCCCCCAGTTCTGCTGGAGCAGCACTAGGCTTCACCAATACCAGTTTCAGGGGGTTTGTCCATGCTGGAATATCATCATACGCTCATGATAAGAGACATGCCAGTGATCTGGCAGCATTTTTAACAGCACAGGGTGTCAGGCAGCTGAAAAGGCAGCTATCTTGTAACACCTTAAAAAGATGCAGGGCCAGGACTCTGGATGGGAAGTCAGATCACAGATTCAGAATTGGGCATGCACATGAGAAAGAAAACAGGGTTTCTCATGTCATTGGCCTAAATCTCCATCACAGAGCACACTTCAGTGAAACACCCTCATGATCTGCTCCCAAAGATCAGGGCAGGCTGACAGCAGGAAAGGGGCAGAGGCCTTTTAAAATCATTTAACATCACTGTATTCAGAAATGACAAGAGTTCTCCCAAGGTTACAGGGCGCAGTACAGGTTGTGCTGGCAGTTTAACACAGCCCGCCTGCCTTTCAAAGCCTTCTCTCTATTGGCACATTTTTCTTATTTGCAAGGGGATGTCAAATAACAATATAAGACAGTTCCTACATCTTCCAGACGCTTCCTCTGCTCTTTCTGCTGCTCTATTCGCTTCTGCCGCTCAGTCAGCAGCTGCTTCTTGTATTTCTCCTGGTCCTTCAGCTGCTGCTGCTGCCGATGAGGGTCAGAACGGTTTTTGTTCTCTTGCTGCAGCCGCAGAAATTCCCGACGGAGAGTTGACTCTCCTGGGAGATTAACTATGGAGCTGAAACAAAAGGAAAGTTTCTATATGATTAAACACAACACTAGAGCAGCGTACAACGTGCACTGGGAATTCCTTGCTGTCTTGTGTTAGTAAATTAAAACATTCCGACAAGTCTCCAGTGCGTTGGTGATGTATCTGCATTTACTGTGCTGCAAACCAGCCTGAAGCTGATTGCTGGCTCCTTCATTTTACCTTTTCCTCCCTACTGCAGGGAAAGCAGTTTACTACTGAAGTCTTACACTCAGCATTTATACTCAATAACTACAAAACAGTTAAAGCAATGGAGGAAATACAGGAGATGAGGAACTGAGGATAAGTTAAAACAGCCAATCTGAGGAGAGCTGCCTGCAAAGAGAGCAGCTGGGCTAGGCAAATTTTATATTCCAGTAATAAAATTCACCTTGGCTCTCCTTCATCTTCATTCGGCTCATCATCTTCCTCCTCACTTCCACTGTAATCATAATCTGTTTCTTCTGGAAAAGAACAACAATATGTAAACCCCAGGGATGGATGATGTCATTTACGACCATTTAGTTTGAACTTTGAACTTTCCTTTTGAGCTACATGCAGCTCACAAGGAGTTTAGGAGCCACAGGTTGCACAGCCAAGGAGGCTAAGGGGATGTAGTGTAAGATCTTTACCCTGTGAATGGCTGCATTTTATGCATCTAACCCATTTCCATAATCCAAACTAAATTAAACCTGCAGAAAAATCCAACTTTCATAACATTAGCAGCGAGGTTCCTCCAGAATGAAATCAAGATAGGACATAAGGGATTTATACTGCCCTTCTCTGCTACCGTATACCTGTTCTATGGCTGAGGCCTTCAGTAAATCCAGATTAAAAACAGCACTTTTTAGATCCAAATATAGCTATCTAGCATTAACTGATCACGATTATTATGTTTTTCCCTTTAAGTGCATTTGTGAAAACCTCTGATAAGTTGCCTTTCCTTTCAAATGTACTCTGAAAGCTTAAAGCCATCATGGAATTGACTATTGAGTCAGGAAATCTGCACTGCAAACAACAGTTTCATCTTAGATAACAATAGTGCAGACCTCAAATCAATACTCAGAGTTTATATGTTACTCCCCAACTTTTTAGTGCTTTCCAAGTTTGCCATTACAGTCAATACTCTGCACTACGTCCCTCCCGCAGGAATCATATAGACAAAGTGAAGAGGGCAAGGGAGGGCAGGGAAAACAAAAGGGCTATGGCTCTTTCTCCAGTTAGCACAGCAATTAGTGGGCAGCGTGCAGGCATTTAGACTGCTCCAACATTGCTTCTCCCAGGCTTTGCTCTGAATAAGGCTAGCATTTGCAGCAAACTCAGATGCTTTCTTCTCCTTCAGTCACCCTGTAAGACAGATGACTCATTATACCCATTTGTATCTGGCTGCAACTTGGAGGGCTTCTCAAGGGCTCTTTCGTGCACTCCACCAAAAAAAGCTTTTCTGTCCTCAAAGATCTCACAAGCTAAAATTATATGGAGATACAGTAGGTAAATTAAGGGGACAGTGGGTGAATGTACAAATTAAGAAACTAGGAAAGGCCTGCTCAACACTATTTAGACACTCAAAAGAGTAAAGGCCTTGTTTTATTTGGACTCCCTGATCACAATAGCATTAGGGTTATTTTTGGTGAAATCAGTATCAGGCAGACTCCAAAGACTAGCATTTAAACACCATTAAGAATCCAGGTTTGGCAAACAGATTTTCAACATGCCCCCCACCACCATCAGTGACAAAATTTCCTTAGAGTTTTAAGAGTGCCAGTATTTATTTCAGCCACATCCACCTTGTCCTCAGCTGCCAAAGGTAGGAAGAGGGCCCACTGTCTGCATGCTTTTTATTTCTTTTTTTGCCACTTTACCCTTTTCTCCTCTTTTCTTCCTGGTCCTGTCCAGGTGGTCTTTCAGCATGATGCGCACTTGCCGTTCATTCTGCATGTCTCGGATGAAGGAATGCTTAAGCAAGGTCTCTGTGGAGGGACGGTGCAAGTAATTTTTAACGAGGCAGCTTTCAACAAAGTTAAGGAATTTCTTTGACCTGAAAAAGTTAGAAAAATAGGGGAAAATAAACATCCTTTTCCACTTGAGCACCAGGCACTACCCCCAAATGACCTAGAGCACCAGATTTACATGGTTTCCTTCTGCACTGGAACTGCATGAACTAAAGGCAAATTTTACTCATGCGCCTCCTCCAACCTCGCAGAGCTGCGAATGGAGAGAACTCCACACCAGACCTATTTCGGTGGAATTTACACCATTTTCAGCATGATCACAATCTGGCCAATGTGACTACTCTTTCAGAAAGTACCCTTATCATTCCAATGTGGCCAAGCTTTTCATTAGATTTCAAGTTTAGAAAGAGAAATTAACTCTCCTTAAGCCACAATGACTACCATTAACCCCCCATAGTCACTAAAGCCTCCTGACAAAACACTGACCCCAGACAGCCCCATCTAGGCCTTGCCTGGGACTACATTTCAGACACCCCTGTCAGTCTTTAGCAACTGCATTGCTGCAACTTTTCAGCCCAACTTGAGAAGAATCATGTTCCTTCCCAAAGGTAACCTAACGCGCACAAGTGGCCTATCCTAGCACCACAAATAGTGTAGGAAAAACCCTGCAGCTCAGAGGAGGATTTGACAAGATCAGGGCCCCTGGAGCTCAAAAGCCCTCCTAGGCCCGTAGCTACAGAACACACTTTACACATCTTTTACCATTTTCTGGATTTCAGTTTTGGAGGCGGGTTCCGGGGGATGAGGAAGAGCGCTCGCATGGGGTGCATGTCACACAGGGCTGCAAGGGAAACCACAAGCCATTAAAGAGTAGGTGCCACCCCACCATGTGCCTCCCGCTCCTTGTTGCTTCGATCCCGCCAGGGCAGCTCCCACCCTTTGCAATGGTCCCGACTCAGCATGCCTGACACAGACCCTCCCCATCCACCACCTGAACACATGCTACAGCCAAGAAATAAAGCCGCAGAGTACAAGAACTCTTTCATGACACTACATTGTTATTACCAATTAATGAGGATTTAGTCAAAAGAAACCATGCTACTCGCTGCCCGGCAACAGCAAGTGCAACTTTCCTTGTATTTTTTGTATCTATAAGGCTTCAGCGGGTCATGAAGGTTTCAGTGAGTCAAGAAATGTCACCTCTCTCGGACATCAAAGAACTTTTTACCTAAATAAATCTAGTAACTAAAATAGCTGCGTGCTACAGCTTACTAAATTTGAGATCAAAACACGCAGACATAGTAAGATAGCTATTTTATGGCCCAGATAAATAGTAATCAAAATGTTAACCAACATTAGTGCCTGACGGCACTGCCAGGGTCTCCCTCCTGGGGTCACAGCAGTGACAGCACATGTCTACTGTCAAGCCGATCTGAGACTGAGGACCTGGTCAGGAACCCAAGCCAGTCCATGAGTAAATAAAACAGGGAGAAATCAAGACATCCCCAGAGGGAAAAAATCTAACCATTGGGCCAGGCTTCCCCCACTGCCCTTTTTTTTTAAAAAAAAAAATTAAAAAAGGCTTAAAACTAAAGTCTTTCATGTCAAATATTTCTGCTAATATGTCAATCACTTCTGCTTATCTGAATCCATATGCAGTGATGTACAAAGTGACACTAATCAGGGCTCTAGGAAAAACTTATCATTTCCTTAGAAGAGAAGGCAAAGCATGAAAATGCGAAGCCAAGACTCCAGGGCTGGAGGAAAGCAAAGGCACACAAGTGAGAAAGTCATAGATTATTTGGAAAGATACAGCCAGAACTTTGTACATCTGTGTATTAGCCAAGCATGAACTATTTTAACACAGAACACTCTCAGAAGCTTAGAAACATCCCCGCTGCCCAGTCCCACGTTGCTTACGAGGGGCTCCTTCAGCCATTTCAATCGCAGTGATTCCCAGGGACCACAGGTCACTCTGCAGGGAAAGAAACAGTGCACATGGCAACTAGGAGCATTTAAGTTTTGCTTTGTTTTTAATTATTATTATGTTTTCCTAGATTTCTTCTGGATCAGGTCATTTTGGTACGAGAATGACATATATTCTGCTCCCTCCTACTCCCTACTGAGTTTTTAGGAAATGTGCTAATAGTCCAAAGCTTTCCATTCCATTTCATAGCACAGAATAGCTGATTCATGACCTAAGCAGCCAGATGCTAAATGCAAACCTCTTACTTTCAAAAATAAAAGATGCAGAATATAGCAATATTGAATATGTATTGAAAATACATATTAAATTAGTAAACTGTTGTCACAAGGCAGTGAGATAGACCTCCCTTGCACCCTTGCTCCAGGCCAGTAAAAGTCTGGTCTTAATGCTTATTTCAGAGTAGTTATTACTGAATTTCTACACGGATAGAGTAGAAATTATAGTCAGGTCCAAGGTGTGACTTTTCCTATCTACAGTCTCCAATTGCCTGTTTTTGAGCACATGAGAGTGCAATTGGGCAGTCAAATTTATGCCTTAATGATACGTGAGCTCAGTCATCCTAGGCTGAAGTTTCCTTTAGGAGCTTCCCTGGATGCCACGGGCCAGGCTCTGGTTACAGAAGGTGAACTGAGAAAGCTACAAGTGATGAAAAAATGTCACAGGTTTCGTCTGATCACTCACATGCATCGTTTCTCTATTTCTGGGTCTAAATGTAGCCACACGAATCACACATGATCAAATAAACATGTGGGGTTTCTCTAAAATTATCTTTTAAAAGAGGCAGTGGTAGACAGATGGCAAGCCTTCAAAAATTAAAAGTGATTTACCACCATAAGAACATGAGGATGAATCATATAGCATAAATATGATTGTATATATGATACAATGAGGGCTCATATCAAATTTGGCCCTCTAACTTTACCAACAGTGCCTTCTCAGTCCAGTTGCTCTGAACTGCTTTATGCAAGCTGAAAAACAGTTTGCATTATAGTTTGTGGAGGGACCTGAGAAGAAAACTTGTAGAAATGTAATAGATTCAGATCATTACTTATAATTAAACAGAGAAGAGAAAATCTTCTAAAGAAATGTGGAAAGAATGAAGTACGGAAGTACGCACGGAAGTACTCTGGGGAAAAAATGGGAAAAACAAGCAAGTTACGAGAAATTTGGCTTGGGTTTTAAAGTGTGAGGGCCAACCAGACAAAAAGGGAAAATAATGGCTGTACCCATAAAAGTCCACCTGTACAGATGTATATATGCATCTTTCTTTTTACTCATTTGTTATCATTTTTATCATTTTCTCCCCCCCCCCCCATCAGAGCTGGACCAGAAAGTTAGAGACACACAAAAACCAGCTTCTTTCTGCTATTCTCATCATATCCACTGTAAATTTACATTAAGAAAGACCTTGCCACGTTCTCGGTCACAGCACTGTCCACATCAGCACTTCCAACACACTCCATTGATCAGTTTAAACTACTATTTGCAGAATCCATTCAGAAGCAGACATAAAGACAAATGCAAGCAGATGAACCATGCTCATTATTCAAAGCAGGGAAACCTCAAAAATCAAGGGTGCCTGTTCCCTAATGCTTATGTAGTCTGAAAAGAAGACATTCTGGAAAGAAAATCAGCTGGGAACAGAGAATGAAGACAAGAGATTCATTTCTTGAGGCTTCTACATAGATTTATACGGTATGAAAAATAAAATAAAATCCAAGAACATTCTTTGGTCATGACTGCCATTCACACAATGAAACTTCACACTGCCAGCACAGCACAGAAGATCTTAACAACCGAGAATCGCAGCTTCTAGTTCAGTAGAAAATGGAAGTTTTCCGAAACCACAATTAGAATTAAAGGTTCAAAGCGGTAACAAAGCATCCAAAGCAAGAGAAGGTCTGGAGAGAACAGCTGCCCAGAAAGCCATCCCTGGAAAACAATCTGCATGGTAAACGCAGACAGAGAACACTGCTGGGAATAGGTCAGAGTACAAAGAATACATAAATCTCTTAAGAGAAGCTTTAGAATATTATAATAGGTAGGAGAACCACCAGAGAGAGTTTGAAGAGCTGCCATTGGCATGCAGGTTGCAGAACACACAGGTCACCTCAGGAGGACACAGAAACTATTTCTTTGGCTCCCATAAAGAGGTAATCAGCATGTGCTCACGCAGGAGCAAAAACAAGCTCAGGGACTCCTTAACCACTGTAATCATAAGGATACACAATACCAGACAAGGCCAGTTTATTTACCTGGTCTTTTCTGCATGAAAGATGGGTAGTGAAGATGAGGCTGCACTGGAAGAGTGATGCCAGCAGGTTGAGAGAGGAGATTCTTGTCCCCTGCTCAGCACTGGAGAGAGCCTACTGGGAATGCTGAATCCAGGACTGGACTCGCCAGCAGGTGAAAAGCAAAGAGGGATTGGAATAAGCCCAGGAAAGAGTCACAGCGATGATTAAGGGACTGACTGGAGCTGGGAGGCTCCAGGCCATAAGCAGGGATTGTGCAGCCTGGAAAGGAGATGATGCCCAGAGGTGCTGGCCACCCTTTGCTGTCCTGCACTTCTGCGAACAACTGGAAAACATTCTGGGATGGGAAACCTGTTAGTTAAAATGCTCATATTTGAGTGTGGTGATACAAATTATTGACAGCTAACTCAGGATTCTCAGCTGAGTATAGAGCAAAATAGCTCTATCAGAGGAATGCAGTACCCAGCCATATTAGCCTTACTCTTCTCAAGTGTTCTTCCCAAGTTTACCTTTTCTCTTCCACTTTGACCAGCAACCTTGTATATCAGAACATTGCACTTTTACACTGAATAGGAGTCCACAGATGTGCATTTCAGATATTAACAATTCACAAAGGTAGTCATAGTGAAACTCCATTCTTAGAAAAAGAAAGAAGAAAAAAAACAACTGCCCACACACACACTACAAATACTTCTATTTGCACAGTTGTAATACTATTGCAGTTTAAAAGGAAGGAAGTTTGAACTTTTCAAGTTCAGTGCTTGAAGAGGATTTCGGCAGCAACCTGCAGGCTTTGCCACCCTCTGCAGAGCTGTAAGGCTTACTCTGTAATCATACGTAGAGTCTGGGTTCTCCTCACAAGCAATGACCTCGGGCGCCATCCAATACGGAGTTCCAATAAACGTATTTCTCCTCCCAATGGTCCTATCCAGCTGCGCACTTACGCCAAAATCCACTGAAAAGCCAAGCAGAGGTAAAAGAAACTAGTAAACAGTTGCATCCACGTAAAGTTTGCTCAGTCACTTTCAGATCGTTTAGATACCAAACCTCTGGGGTTCAACATATATCACATCTGAGTTTCTGCAGCACATGGTGTCCAGCAGCTGAAATATAACTGTTTTTCCTCTTGAGGAAGAGAAACAACATGGTAAATCTAGCAGGCAGGTTACAACTGCCATGAACCATTCTACAAAGATATTACAGAACAAGTTACACTTTTTCTAAATAATACACTGAGGAGAACTTGAGATCTTTATCTATTACCTGAAAGAAAAAATAATATTTAGGAACATGAGAAAATTGAAAGTGTCAGATAAGGCCATTTGTTAAAGTTAAAAAGAACTCTCTTGTCACTGCCACCTGGTTCTGAATTGCTTTGAAGAAGTCCTTCTTTGCATTTTTCACACTGAAGTCGCATCTTAAAACATGTTGGATCATATACCAGTTTATTCAGCCCTCAGACTTATTACAACCAGAGAGCTGTGTGGTGCTCTTCGTGCTGAATAGACGTTACTTGCTCATCAGGAGTGTACAGCAAAATGTTTTTCTTCGGATATGAGGAGGGCCCACACAACCAATAATTATGTGATTTTAGTTTTCTTTGAACACACCTCTAGAATACACTAGTTGGATCCACTGGGCACAGCATGAGTGTTATTCACGGAGAAGACAAAAATAACAGGGAAAGGAAAGGACAGGAAGGGGATCATCTCTAATGTTACCATCAAGGAGCCAATTTTCTCACCTACGCTTCTTCGGTGCTGATCTACATAAAATGATACTTTCTACCACCATAATTTAATGTGCCTGTTTATCAAATCTTCTCTAACAAGGTGGTCCCTTGGAATTATTATACCTTCTGTGCTTCAAATGGAAATGTGGAAGTGAAATGCAACTACACTGAGGATCTCTGGGCTTTCAATCTTCTTTAAGACACATTTGAGCTAAACCTCTCTGGAAAACTTTTTCTTTTCTTTCTTTTTTTGTTGTTGTTGTAATTGGTAAATCTGTCTCATCTTTACCCACTTACACTCAGAGCTAGAAAGATTCATTTCTCCAACATGTGAAGAACAGTGGCACTAATACCTAAACCAGATGGCAAACACACACACGCACACACAGACAAGTTAGTTTTGAGAGAAAACTGGTAAAAGCTGATACATAGAGAGACTACAGACAAAATCCTGCCTCCATTGAACTCCCTTTGATGTCAATGAAGCCAGGATTTTATCACAAATTAAGTCATGAGATTTAAAGCACTATTTTGCTTTGCTCCAGCCAGGTGTCCTACCCTACATCTATAGGAAACATTTTTTGTTGTTGTTCTCAAACTCTACAGTGATTTCTTTCAGTTAAAGACAGGGGGCATAAGGAACATCCAAATGAGAGGTACTCTCCTTGAGATTGCTCTTTAAATCACTGCCAGCCGTTCTTTGCAATGTCTGATACGACAGACAGACACCCCAGGGGAGATACACACTCAATTTTGGTCTTAGAAAGTTAGAAATTGTCAACATCGACAAGTCAAAGCTAGAAAAGGAAATGAGTAAACTCTCAAACATTCTTGGGAGATGACTTTTAGTAACTGCTACTTTTCAGTGATAGCCCCTGCATGTGAGTAATATCACGTCAGAGCCTTAGCATCTATTGTCAAATTTACGAAAATCTCCTAAAACCACTTCCCTTGGAGAAATGATGATGCAGAATTTATTCTCAAACATGTTTTTTTTCTTTTTCCTCTAAAGCCATCTTGAGTGAAAGGACAAGAAAAACTTTGTATGCAGGGGGCTGGCTGTGAAGGCCTGCTGGTGCTGTGACCCATCAGGCAGCTCCTGTGTTTGACTCCCCAGAAGCAGCTGTGTTCCTGGCATGCTGTGAGTGACAGCCTTGCAGAACATGCCATGTCTTTCAGCCCTTTCTACATGATAGCCACCTCATAACCACAAACCATTAACACTACTTGACACAGCTATTGCGTTGGGGTACTGAAGGTTCTTTCCCAGACAAGATGGAAATTTTAAAATTTTAAGGCCCAGGAATCTAACATGCTTCTAAGGAAACTTACCCAGCTTTACTTCTGCATTTTCTGTGAGCAGAACATTCTGTCCTTTAATATCTCGATGGATGACATGGTGAGCATGAAGATGTGCTAAGCCCTGAAAGAAAACCAGACTTTCCTTATTCTTTCCTCCTATCACTATAATAAGCTCAGCATTGTTGCCATTTTATATTTTTACCCTCCTCAGACTTCCTTCATTGGGAAAGTTCTTTAGATGGGATAAGTACCATCACCATCCCAGTTTTGTGAAGGAGGACAGTAGCCATAGCCCTGATCCTCTTCTCTCATCCCCAGTATGACAGTAGTGGAGCACATCTGACATCAAATGAGGAGAGAATGAGGTTCCAATATTTTAAACTTAAGTTTCAGAATCAAAGGATATCTAGTTATACTATGTGTACATAGCACATGCATATATACAGAATATCTATAGAGAAAATAATGGAGAATGCTTTGTATAGGGTATGGAGTTAGCAAGTGGCTGACCATAGCCAAGTTTTGCATGTGGCAAACCTCTAATTGCAGACAACACACAGTCCCAAATACCATGTCAGAACCTGGTTTTGAATGTAGCAAATATTACCTTCATTCAACTAATATTTGCAATATTCTGGCATTTCCTCTCTTTCAAAATTATCTATAGTTAAATGATCACAAATATAATGGAACACACTAAAATAATATAATTAGCATGGGGATACTTTGCTCAGAATCTTTAGCTTCTCTAATACTAATGACTTCCAACAGAGCTTCAACCCACATGCCAATTTTTCCAGAAGGAATTGTTTTCAATCCACATATAATCAAGTCATTCTCTGTTTTCAAACAAAGAGGATTAAAACCAGTCCCTTCATTACACAAGCACACTGTTACTGCTTTCAGTTGCAAGGGCATAAACAAGTTTTTACATCAATATAATTTCAATACAGGTATTACAGCCACACAAATAAAAGGATGGCAACGTAACCAGCCCATTAAGAATGCCTGCCAGAAGAGCTCTCACCATGATCTCCAGCTATATTTATTATAACCTACAACCCAATGCTAAAGCCAGGCAAGATGCCTGATATTCTCCATTGAGCACGTTTCTCATCTTCAGTGTTCCAGAAGCAGAGAATTTCAAGCATTAGTTTGGCATAACTCATTTAAACTACAGCTCCCAGAATACGCACTTATTTTACCATTATTTAAAAAAAGAAGTAAAACTGCATTACAAGGAAGACAGATCAGCGGCTGTGTAATGGTTTTGAATTTGGAATGAAAGGTTCCAATTTTTTTTTTCCAGGCTAGTTCACTAGACTACACTTTCTTCTGAGCTTCAATTATATTATGAGTTATGCTTTCACAGAAGACGCTCAGGAATCTGTATTTTCCAAGAACAAAAAATCCCAAAGCCTGCACTGATTGAAATATAGTCCCAAGAATTATCTTGGGAAATACTGCTGCACTAGGGCTACCTTCAGGATTTGGGAATGCTGCCTAGTCAACATTTCTTCTAATAGTGCAGAAAATTGGCCCTGAACCATGCACATCAATGAATTATGATAAGAAGTATCTTATACAGAATGTATAGCTGGAGCAAAGAGCACTAAGACGTAATGAAGTGGAGGACAGACTTGTAAATACAGAAAACTTATTTACTTGTGTAGATGGTCGAAAACTAGACTTGTGGAAGTGCGACTATTTGCCACAGAAAACCATAACCTATGTGTTTTCTATACAGGGTATGGGGTTAACTAGGGCAATATGTGATATCAAGCAGCCATCGTGCTGGCTGACAAACCCTTGGGCCCTTCTGGGCTCGAGGGCCAGAGTCCATGAGCCTCTTGCTTCAAAGCATCAACATGATACTGCTCCTTGGTGTCCCGTTAGTGACCAATGGTTGGGAAATGTCTCTTGTGTGGCAATGAGGAATGACACTCTGCTGCAGTGACTCACCCTGAGAACCTCTCTGCAGATGTACGCAATCCAGTCTTCCTTGAAGCAGTTCCCTTTGGTCTTCTTTACCAAGTCCGTCACGGAGCCAGCACCGCAATACTCCATCACCAACTGCAGGGAAAGAAAGCGACCCCTTGGTCACGGCACACGCAGGGCCCTGCGAGCGACACCACGGGCCTCACCTGTCCCCCACGCGCAAGGTGTGGCAAACCACACGCCACCCTCCCAGGAGACAAGCCAAGTTAAACTTCTTGCTTCCTGAATGACTCACACTGCTGAAAAAACAAAAAGCCTCAGTAGTGCTCCTCTCCTTTTATCGGTTGTGGGCACTTCTTTTCCTTCTAGAAACTACAAATTCAGAAAGACAGACATTAACAGCACTGAAAATTATGGGATTTTTTTTTCAAAATTTCAAGCTTTTGAATTTTTTTTTAATTGCTGAAATTGATTTTTTTAAATTGCTGCTAATCTCCAATAATATTGCAGGAAAAAAATGGAAAGGTATTTGCTTATTTCTCTGCTTTTTTTTTTTCTTCCTCCTACTGGGAAAAGTGGGAGGAACAGTCAAGAAAAGGTGGTGGTGCACAACTCTCATGTTCATTAAAGGAAAAAATACAGAGAATTTATTTAGGGGGAAAAAAAGTTCTAACTAGCAATCAGAGTGACAAAACAAGCACCACCCCAAACTTTTGCCCATCCTCAGAGAAAGACATAGGAAATAGAAGATGTGTGGGGAGAACAGCACCTCACAGTTCACTGGGGCAAGATCCAGGCCAGATATCCTGAAACTTTCCAGAAAGGAGCTGGAAACAAAGAACATGAATGGCAGTAAACACTTACCCAGAGCTGATCATCTTGGCCTGCTGGACTTTTCTTAACAAATGCACCATAATATGTAGCAATATTCCGGTGATGAGAATATTTTTTTAACATATTTATCTCTAGCTTGATTTCATCTTCTTCATTCTGCAACAAAACAGAGCAGAACGTTCACCAGAGATAAGAGATCACCAAGGCTGCCCAGAACAGCCACGCAATCTCTACTTTCAGGGTTTTTCAAGACCCTGCTGCTCCTGGAAAGCCCTGATCAACCGGTCAGATCCCACAGCTGACCCTGGTTGAGTACTGATCCTGGTTGGACTAGAGACTTCCTAAGGCCCCATCTGGCCCAAATTATTCTGTGATTCTAAGACTGCAACCAAAGAGCAGGGTCTTTGGTCCTTTGTCCTTAAAGGAGGAGTTGCTAAGGTTTGACCCAAAGGATGAAAAATGTCCTGATGTGGCTATAACAAACTCGTATTCTTCCTTCCAGGGACTTAGACAGGACCTACAACTCCCCTCTTAGGGTTTCTGTATGCAGTAATTTAGTCGTGGAGAAGCTAGCCACATTTAAGCACAAATGAGATATTTCTAACACTCCATTACTTAAATGCTTGGGAAAGCACTTAGCATACACATCAGCCAATTCATCTTCGCAGTCCCACGGAGGGCCCTGCTTGGGGAAACCAAAGCCAAGAAAGAAGTGACTTGCCACAAATCAACCTCCAGAGCTAGAGCAAGGTTAGGAGCTGCTCTTTCCTTGTTATGAGACCACCAGACCGTGCAGTACTTTTCACCCTCCTCAAACTATGCCTGCAGTTAAGTCAGTGGCGTGCTGAGCCTAGCGCACACCACCCTAGACATCTTGTCCCAGATCTCTTCTTTCTGCTAGCTGTTTTTTCCACCTTTTTTTGTTTGTTTTAGCCTCCTCAGAGCAGACACTCTCTTTTGCCCAGTGCAGCACCCCGGGCAATGAGACAAGAGGCAGCCAGAGCTGTGGGGTGCTAATGGAAATGCAAGTTATAATAATGATATCGCAGGGAACTGCTCCTTCTCAGAGGAGAGTACTCCCCGATCTAAAGAGGTTCTCTCATACCTAACCTTGCTGTGATATTGCCCAGAGAAATGACACACAATACTCGGTTAAATGCACGTGGATTTTCCCTGTCTCATTTGCTGCAAGATACCTGTGTTTAAGTTAAAAGGACTAAGACAAAACTGACGATTGCTTTCCCTTGCTGCAAAACACCCCAACCAGCACTTTCTAGCTGAAGGAGGAAAAAAATAGCACTCTGTAAGAAGGTAACAACAATAACCCAGACCCGCAGGACATTTTTCTGCACTTTTCCACAATTTTCCAGCAGCTTTGCCATGAAAAAAAAAATCCTTTAACCATCACAACAGACCGCTCACAAAACCAGTGGCTTTTTCCTTTCTACACAGACTAAAACAGTCAAGTTGGACAGGTTGAAACCAAATTCCCTCAAATGTTAATATATATGATATTTCTTTATTAAACTCTACCAGAAAAAAAAGCAAAAACATCAGCCCAGAAAGGGCCAAAAACTTCCCCAGTAATATCAATCCACAGGAGAAATGTTGCCAGACCAAAGCTTAATTGTCTTACACTTTAGGAAATGGGAAATAACTCCACTTGAAGCAAAATCAGCTAATTCAGACTTTACAACAACCCCTCTGTTGAACACAGGCTCTCAAGCTGCATAGATTATATCAGATATTTCATTTGTCTTACATTTGCAATTAAGGAGAAAGAAGAACCCTTAATCCTGGGCTTGATTGGGCCCTGGATGCTGAATGACTTAATTAGAGAGGGTAGAGAGGAGCCCAGTACAGCATCTGGAGCCCCCAAGAGAAATCAGAGCTGACTCCCAGACAGCAGGCAGGAAATCACCCATGAGCAAGGTCAGATTTTTCTCTGCACGTGGCCTGCACAGGACCAAAGGCAGCTGATGCTTTCTGAGAGGGGAAAGGGCTCTCCTTGCTTTGGGACTCCAGGCAGCTCCCATGCAAGTGTGGAAAGGGGCAGATAAGAGGCAGAGAATAAGAACATAACCAGCGCCCCAAGTCTGGACACAAGGATCCTGCCACTGATATGGGTTTCGGCTAGTAGATCATTAGGGAAGAATGGCAAAAAAATGGACAAGCAAGAGAGGATTCCTTTCCCTGCTCTACCTGCTCCTGCATCTTTCCACTCCTCCTACTAGGGCTACAAAATCTGTTGAGTAACAACATTAGTCTTTGGTGAACACCTTCTTCAAATTCCTTAAGATCTCTTCAGATCTTAAGGCTTCTTGAACTCTGTCCGCATGAACTTGCGCACTGGTTGTGCCAGACTAAAAAGCTTGCCCACTTCATCCCCCACAGCGGCACTGGGAGCTGTCACACAGTTCCTCTTTGGGAGCTGGGAGATCTCAACCCCTTCCTTCCCCAGAGCTGTCGCTTCCTTCCCATCTCTCCATCCTCTGTCCCATTCACTAGATGGATTTTGAATTGACACGGGCATGACTCCTACTGGAGTATTTTCTATTGCCCTGCAATCCTACTTTGGTGCTTTTCAGAGAACAAAGATTTGCCTGTGCCTGCCTGCGGGCACAGCTGGAATACAGGTAGGCACATCTGCATCTGCTGGCCAGGGTGAGCAGCAAAGCCGTGCGTGCATGGAGTGATCCCTTCCCAGAGCCAGCAAGAGGAACCCTGCTCCACCTCACAGCCTTGGTTATTCACCCAGTAGGCTGGAACCTGCACAGACACATAATCCTACATCCTCCCAGTGTGCGAGTGAGTTTGGGAAAGACAACTCCATTTCAGACGGAAGAAGCAAGGCAGGAGCATGATTCAGAGTGACTCTGTCCCACATTCCCCATTTGTGTCACTACACAGCCGTGCTCAGGATTTCCACTTTTCAAAACCTCTGTCTTCACGTTACCATCAGCCACTCTTCCCAAGGGTCCCCAAACCTACTCTTAAATCATGCTGCCTATGAGAGGAAACGAGCTCACAGATGTGCAGGTGCGAAAAGCTGTTTGCCTGCACAAACCAATGTGTTTCTGGGCACAGATGGCTGCATGTGCAAAGATGACAGCTTCGTGATCAAAGGCTGTTTTTGAAGATGTGGGCCTAGCTGCTGACATTGGGAAGCAAAGAGCTAGAAGGCACAGGCGTCCGACCTGGAACGGAAACACGAGCAGCGGCCAACACCTCTGCACCGGGAGCCCCCTTGGCAACGGGGCAGCGCAAATGACAAGTTTCTCATTTAATAATTAGTGTGATATCTGAAAACTCTGAAGGCAGATGCCAGGAAACGGCCCGCTGCAGAAAAGCTCCCTGATTGCCCGTCATAGATCACACGCAGCCCCAACCTGAAAGAAAAGCAGCAAAAATTCAAGCTCTTTGCATGGCCTCTGCTTGCTTGGCACCGGCAGACAGGAAGAGGAGCCTGCGTGGATAAGCTCACGAGCACACATTGCCCTCAGCTCCCCTTCACTGATTTCAAAGGGTTCCTGCCACCCCCTCCCGTAAGCCGCCGCTGCAGCACTTCCTGACAGATGTCCAGAGGATCCCACAGTGACCACAGCATCCTGCTGCTGCTCTAAAGAAAGCAGCCCGGGGCTGCTGCTCCTGACAGCGCAGGGCAGATTTACTCAGCCCTTGGTGCGCCTCCGATCTCAGAGCTGGATAATCACAGCTGGTGCTGGGCAGGGATTTTTCTGATGAAATGATCACTTGCTGGAAAAAAAAGGCAAATGAAGATCTGGTGAAACAGAATCTTTTGGCAGAAACGCACCAGTTTTAATGAAACTTTAGCTGAAAGTCTTATTAGGCTGTGTTTTCTGGCAGAAAGTGGACGCTAGGGGAGAGAAACCCACTGCACAATATCCACGAGGCACCTCACATCCTGGGGTGTGAGATATATCCTGGTTCAAACTCTTTCTCCCTAAGTCAGACACCACCAGCCCTGCTACTGAGCAGCCTCCCAGGTGAGGGACAAACCACAAAGCTGACACGGGGCTCTGTCAAACCTGCCCACTGGAACTGCTCCACATTGAGAAAGAGTTTTACTGGAGGCTGGAATTGGAGAGATCCTCTTAGAGGGGATCCAAATCTCAAGGTCATTCTAGGCTGGGTGCCCTTCAGCTCTTCCCAATTTTTCTAGACAGCAGTAAAGCAAAAAAGATCACATTTGTCTTTTTATTTTTCATCTTTCCATTTTCTACCACATGAAATTTTCACTCCCTACAAAAATTATTCCCTGTGCAGCACTAATCAGATTGCATAAGCACCCAAAGATGCAAATGACCACAGTAGCTAAGAGCCTCCCATCTCACTCAAGCGGGTTTGCTATGACAGTTTCCATTTTGCACAGGCCAAGCACCTTGTGAGATGCTGCTCCCAGGTGCGATTTATATGCAGGATGTTGCAGACAAGGATTTCAATATTTTAAAGACCTTATTTAATGCCTCGAGCCAGTTTTCCAAGTCCAAAGGAACAGAAAATAGCTTAAACCTGAGTGGACTAACAATGCAAAAGACATACCAAATCCCTGAATCTGAATCTATCATGCTGACTTTCTAGAGATTTCTGCTTTACAGTTAGGATCCACTATAAGCAGACGCAGGGAAGCAGGGAAAGGCTCTTCCTATCTAGAGATAAGGAGCGGAGGTTCAGAGATGCTTGCATCAGCTTGGGTCTGTGCTGTTCAGGGCTGGGCGAGGGGAGAGCACTAGGGAAATCCCCCCCAGGTGGCTGCACCAACGTGCTCTCCGTCAAACCCTTCAACCATCACAGCCGCCTTCGTACAAGTGACTCAACAGGAAAACGGCAGCTCTGTCCCCACTGCTGCTCAGCCCTCGAGAAGGGGACAGGTTGCCCAGGATGCCTCTCTAGCCTGGAAAGCAGCAGCAGATGAAGCCTAAGCAGAATCCTGTGTCAGACTACAGCTGCTTTGTGTTGCCCAAACCATGCAAAGCTGTCAACGTGAACCCCTGTATCTGGACCACTTGGTTGTCCTCGCTGCAAATTCTGCTTCCAAGCCAGCACTGGACACTGCATCTTGTCTCTCACAGACAAGCAGGCTGTGTTAGCTACAGCAAAGAGAGGGGAAGCTTTCCGTGGGCCCCTTCCCACAGCTTTTGCTACAGTTGTTGCATCAAGGAAGGTGTTGCCCCTCGCCTTAACACTATGGCCCTGAAGTGGCACCTTTGGTCAGCCCTCGGACACTGCTGATAACCCAGCAAGGCATGAGAACAACCTGCACAGAGCTCTGGTTCCATTCGAGTCCCTGACAGGGGACAGGGTCTGTCCCTTCAACTCCTCCGTTAAGGCACTCCAAGGAGCTGAGTGGGGACCTTACAGGAGGGTAGGTGTCCCCTGCTGCACTGCAATGTCCAGAAAACTCGAGACAAGGAACACCTGAGTCTCCACCATGTTGCAGCAGCTGATGTGGCTGTAAGGAGGCAAGCTGCTTCGCTGCGCTCTTAAAAGGAAGAACAAAAATCAATACTTAGCAACTTTTTGACATCATGTTCTAACAGTGACACCACTTTATAAATGTGAGCAGGGACAATGCCAATTAAAGTGTCTCCTTTCCTCATCTGTCAAAAAAACAACAACAAAAAAGCACCACATTTGCATTTCAAGCATGTTGCAGCTTGCTAGCTGTCAGGGTAACGGCTCTGAGGAACGGCTGGCATGCAAGGGCAGAGGATGTGATGACACACAGCAGGGGCAGCTCAGAACTACAGGAAACCTTTTACTTGCTATCTCTGGAAACAGATAATCAGCGAGAGACAAGCAGGAAGCGACTTCTCCCCTTCATTATTCCAGACTAGCAGCGCTTGCAGAAGCGCAATCCCGACTGCTTTGCCACCTTTGCTCACTTATGAGCAAAAACAAAGAACGTATTTGTTCTAACACCTTCCAATACTTTAAAAAACAAGAACCAGTTCTCAGCAGCCAGAATTTACGCCACTGGATCATCTTTCAGAACTATCTACAGCACCATGATCTCCTTGACCACAGCATTTGTGTTGGTTTGTTTTGTACTTACCTCAGTCACATTCATCACTTTGATTGCTGCTAGCTGCCCAGTCTTAACATGCCGACCCTGTTAAAATAAGGCAAAACAAGTATTAATAAAGTAATTAATAAAGTATTAATAAAGTATTGATAAAGTAATAAAATAGGTAAAACAAGTATTCACATTGGATAAGTAGCAGCACATTTTAAAGTTAGATTTGAGTACTGGCTTTCAAAGACATATCAGTAACCACCTTGTGATGCAGAACTCTTAAGGCAAAGCTTGCTAATCTGCCCATGGTTTTACCATATTCTGAAGCAAAGTCTTCCCTGGGCTGAATTTCCCTTTAAGCACAAGCAAAGCAGAAACATCAGCAAAACTGTGTTTCAGAGCACGACGTGGAACGAGTTTATGGGTCTCCATCCAGCTCCCATTCAACGGCTGCCACCCCACGAACACCCTCTTCTTCTGAGAAGTGTCAGACCGGGCCCAGGAGGACGAAGCCAGGACAACCTCCTTGTCCTGGGATCCAGCACTGCAACACACTGGGGAAACAGGGTGCCCTGCAGCTGGCACCATCCCCACCTCCCATCCACCCTGCTCTAGCCCCTCTCAGGGTAAGGAGAAAGCTATGAGCTTCAGGACTTCAGTCTGACAACGTCTGGGTAGTCACTAAGAAACTAAAGCTGCGCATATTTTTTCCCAAGGCTTTCTACTATGAAATGCTTAGTTTTAAATACTTTTGTTGCATTTTTGAGCCATAAGTAGCTCAGCTATCACCTGAAAAGCATGCAGGGGCTTTGCACTTGAAACGGAGTCTTATACCACGGGGGAGAGGAACTCGCTCAGGGTTGATGCATACCTGCACCTCGCTCACGAAACGCCCAACATCCCGAGATCATTGTTAGGCAAGTGATCACGGGTAATTTTAGAGTAGATAAGTGGCTAGTTTTTGACGATAAAAGTCCGCAAGAGAGGGGAAATAGGGAATAAAGCCATCAAAAGAGTAAGCATGGTATTGAGACTGACCAAATGTGGTTCCTAAGGCCATAAATTAGAAACCCAGAAGCAACCAGAAATCTTGCTATAAATTGCACAATTCTTCACTCTGGTTAGATCATGTTGCTCAACACATGCAAAGTACAAGTGTCCTGTCATAATAACCACAACTAATTTGATAGTGCACGATGGTATCAAGAATAATACTGGCTACACATCCTAACTCCTCCCTCCATCACTCCCTTATGATCCCAATTTTCAAAACGAGTTTGAAGCTTTGAGACTGCAGTTTTATTCCTAAAAAGCTGTACATCAAAATAACTAACTGGCATAGTTAAGTAAGCCACAAGAAGTCAGGAAAGCAAATATGAAATGCTGCAGTTCATAGACAAAATGATTTGCAGGTGCAATTTACACCTGCAAAATTAAAAGCTGGGTTGATGTCATTTTAAAAAGCAGGTCCTATCTGTTCAAAATTGCATACAAGTGTTATTTGTAGGACTAAGCAATTTTGCATCAAAGAAAAATGATTCCTTGTTCTCAGGCAATATGTCACAGTCATGTTTTCTTTTACGCAAAACTAAATCCTGCTGAGTTTTTGTATATTTAAGTGTCCTCTTTCCATGGAAGTGCTCCTGGGATTGCAAAGCTCCCTCTCATCATTGGGAACAATAGGATTCATACATTAATCTGGATCTCAAGAGGAAGATAAAGGAGGCACATCCTCCCCAAGCCATGACACACACCGCAGTGTGCCCCACAGCCCATCAGATGTTGCCAGGCATTGCAGGCCTTGGCAATCCAGCGAGAGGACCTTCCATAGGACACGGTACCGCTCAACACAGCCGCACACCGAGGGAGCACAAAGCAGCTCCGGGCACTGCGCGCTGCAGGCAACCAACCCAAACCCATCTAAGCCTCACTTGGGCTGCTGTATATATTCAGATGAATAAGGAAGGAGGAAAGGCTGGACATTAATTTTGATGTCGAAACATGAGACCTGGCCAACTTTTCCTCCATGGAGGAGACATCTTTTATATGCAATCATCTCCTCTGCATGCAAACCTGCTGCTTTCATTTACTTTTACCGTTGTAGGTGAGAAATGCTAAATCTTGGAAAAACAATTTGGAAAATCAGCATTCACAGGAAAGAAATCAGCACAGCCTTGTATTTTGTGGGTCATGCTTCACCTTGGCACAACAGATGTGCTCCCACTACCAGGGCTGCACAACTGCCCTCTGCTCCTGCATTCCATCTGCAAGGAGGCTGCTGCTGGCCGAGGCGAGGGCAGGATCACTCCCCATCCTTGTCTTGGTGACAGCTCTTCCTCACACGAAGCAAAGTTACTGCTAGCCTCCAGGAGACACGCTGGCCCACATCCAACCACCCCTCTGCACAAGCTCACCTGCGGTACATCTCTCTGACTGGGTAAAGCTGCC